AACATTATCGATGTTTGACGGTTGAGAGAATTCATATTAAAAATTTTGGCCAAATCGTATGCTTTCCTAATAAACAATCTTACATTATCATAATATATCTGCTAAATAAAACCAAACTTAGGAGTATGTCATACCTTTCAAAAGTGATCGTAAAAACGTGTTTTAGGAAAAGCGTTTGAATTAAAACTGAGGTCATAGAAAAAAAAATATATACCGGTAATTTGAGAACTTTAACTAGGATCTCGCGTCGTTTTTTTAGAAGACTAAATTTACCTTAAATACAAGCAATTAAAAAAGTAATAACTGTATTAATTAATAGTATAATGATATGTTGTTCATTAAATAGACTAAAACATTTATCGACCTCGTTCTTCGAACAATCTATACAAAATTGATAAGTGAAATACCGAAACTTGCTGCCGAAATTGGTGAATATGAAAATACCGCGCCGTTGCAACTTACTATGAATGCATTCCCATGCTACAGAAATATTTTGGATAATATTTCCGAAAAGTGTTTTTCAATACCCAAGGTAATACTAAATATATATATATGGACTTTGTTCAATCGTTACACAGAAATTATTTTTTATCTTGATTTGTTTCTAATTTATTTTACTCGGTTTCAGAATTTATACGCTTTGGACAAATTGACTTTCTTGGCAAATATTTGTATCGTCGATAACAGCTTAGACAAAATGCTGCTAGAGTTTGTAGACAATATATGCGTTTGATTAAAAATCCCAAAATACATTTTTAAACATATTAATATAACGTTTAATAAGTAGGTTACATGTGTTATTTACTATTTGAAATGGAAACATAATAACAATTTGTATATTAAGTTTGTTTTTATTTAATAATTTTAATACCTACCTAGTCTAACTATATTTTTAAGAAAATTGTAAAAATTAAAAAGGCCTAATGTTAGACTACAAATAAAAAAAAACATTTTATGTGTTTAGTCATTTTTGTTATATTCATATTTTTTCTATTAAAAAAATGCGTATAGATTAAAAAGACGTGGTATTAGACCTACCTCTAACTCGTCGGCTATTGTGGTTATAAAATGGCCATATTTTTATTTAAAAATACTAAAATAAAATGTTTAGCTGAATAATCGTTACTTATGTATCATTTTGGGGTAATAATTAAAAATTATGCCATTAAAACTAATTTTTAAAAAGTAAATTTTGGCAATATTTTCCTTTTATTTTATAAAACAACTTAACCTTGATTTGTATCTTTGAAATTGTATTTAATTTTACTAAAATGGGAGTATGATATTTACACTTAGTATAGAATATTCTATTCAAGTATTCCCCCTGTCTTCCTTTTTCTGTTGGGTGTCGACATTTTAGACACATCTACATCAACCAAATTTGAATGATAGGGACAGCCTAAATCATGTTAAAGCAACTAGTTTCTTTAATCCAAACCAAATTAGTTTTTGGCCCTTAGAAACCGCACTTTTACATTCGGACTCTTTTAGGTACACTACAAAGGACATTCTTATTTCACGTATAGTAAATTAAAAAGTAGGCAATAAATTTATGTAGATGTTGAGTTTTATATATTTTCATACCGGTCGGGTCCCAGTTGTTGGTATATAATAATAAATAAAAGGCCACCCGTTTATTATTTTTTTTTTACATCCACACAGTTTCCTCAACTACCCTCAGTTTAAATAAATGTTAACCGAGGTAATCAAACTTGCGATTTGGCAAAAACGATATATTTTGACCAGAAATGAATGTTTTACAACATATATTGTTTACAAGGATTTGGTTAAATATATTATTAATAATATAAGCTTTTTTAATTGTTTACAATATTACAATTTTTTACTAAAAATCATTTTTGTATCAATAAATTTAAAAGTTTCTCTAAATGATTGAATCATTGTTGACTTTAAAAAAAAAAATGTACAATTTGGCTAGAGCTCGTTCCGAACTGTTTTCAATATCTTCATAATATTTTAAAAAAATATTTTGTTAAAACCTAACTTAGTGCAAATAAATTATTATAAAATACTTTAAAACAATTTTCCAACTGGATAATGTATTAAATTTAGTACTAAATTTAATCGCTATGATAATTTAGTGTACAATTTAATATTTCAACCCGGAAACTATTTAATTTGGGAGAGGCCAGAATTGATAGAACATAATAACTTAATACTGAAGTATCTAAACGTATTATCGAACAAAAATTAATAGAGGTGTTTTCTGATAGCTATCACGTCAAAGTGAGTTTGAATTTACGGGCCCCAAAAGTTTAGAATCCATAGTAAGGCTTAAGTAACAGATAAAGTTGTCATGTGAAACTATGCCAGTATCCAAAGTGGTGTAGACCCTAGGTAATTAACTATACTGTGGGCACTTCTGAAAACCATCTACGTTATCAGGGAAAATTATGTTTGACTGTAACCACCAATCCAAAATATTAATATACAAATTTTGTTTGAATTTGTTTAAGCTAAAATAATTATTTAACAGAACAAAATACTGGTACATAAATTTTATATTATTATTGAACTTTTGGTTATTGCATTACAGTAAGCAATTTATACGATTCGTGGTTTAATAATGATACAAAAACAATATATCATTGAAGTACTAAATGATACTTATGCAACGGCATCTGAAGGGGTGGAGAGGAGAGGGGGCAACACCCCACCTAGCTTTTCTGCAAGTCAATAAAAATATATCCAACATCCCAAAAATCGTGTGTTTAGTTAGTTTAAAAATATAATACCTATATTAATATAATACAGTTTGCTAATCATAATATTATTTTTGAAAATACACGGTGTTTTTGTTTTTTAATGAACATTAAGGCCCCCCCCCCCGAATTTTGACCTACGGGTGCCCTTGTACATAAGTCAAAAATGATATATTATCGCTTTTATAATATAATGATAAGCACGAGCTTTTAAAAAAAGTTCCAATAGGATGTTATAGTGATTAAAAAAACATTATTATGGTATATTTTGTAAAAAAATAATTTAACAAATGCCCGGTGTTATACAAAATACTACAGTTTGCTCAAATGGCATGTTAATGTAAAATTGTTATCAACAAAACATAATCGCCTAAATCTAAAAAACTGACATCGACTATCGAGTTCTTGAGTTTACCTAATTGTAATTTCAAACTCAATGGGTATTATCTTAGTCTATGTTTATTTAATTTAATTTTTATCTTAAAATTACCTTATCAACATGTGTTGAATATCATTCATGCGCTTAACAGCTACTCACTTCAACACATTGATGGGTTTAAAACTTTTAAATCGTAACAAGATAACTCGGTATCTAATACTGTTATTAATATTATTCCGAGAATAACATTACAACTAGTATATCATTATAACACACCCATACACGCGTACTTATTTAAATGTTCATACTTACATTATGTGGTACTTGCATGACGAGAGATTAACCGGTCGCAATTTTTAGCTTGTGTGCGACGTCCGACTCCCGAAAATGTGTTGGCTAACACTGTGCTGTAGTGTCTATAATTGGGGGTTGGGGCACGAGAGCGCGTTATTATTGGGCCCTTTACAATGTTTTCCAACTGAAAAGTGAAAATTGTATTAAATTTAGTACAAAATTTAATCGCGATGATAATTTATTGTACAATTTAATATTTCAATCCCGGATTCTGTTTAATTTGGGAGAGACCAGTATTGATAACGTTTTGGACGTATTTTTAGTACTGAAATGATGGATTAATGTTAATTTACTACTTAAATATAAAAAAAAAAGTAAATGTATACTCATAATGTCATTATCACCGAGTGTTTGTTAAATAATACAAATCTGTGCTAATGTAGGTATACAATAATATCTTAAGATAATGAATTTACAATTGAGGCGTATAGTTTCAAAACCAGCCATAATCACATTTTGAAATTGTTCAGGAACAACAAAAAACGAAAAAGACCTTAACATTTTACTCTATGATTTTGTAATATATATGATATCATAGGTTTAGAATGTATACATATTATTATCAGTTGTTTTTTGCCGCGAAAAAAAACGTGTTTGGTTATAGCTGGTTTTGATAAAAACTTCGTTTGATGGGTGATTTTGAAACCAACCAAAATTTTCCATGGTCAGTTTAAACCAGTTATAGCTCTATTTGATGTTCAATATTTTTACAGGACTTGTAATACAGTGTGACCATTTACAAAAAACAAAGAACCCAATTTTCAAAAAATGTGCTTTTGGCTGGTTTTGAAACTATACGCCTCAATTATAATACATATATCTTAGAATATATATTAGGCATACAGAAGAAACCATAAACTAGTAGCACATCAACATGTTGTAGGAAATACCTTTAGGTTTAGGTAAGAACTAATAACCAAAAACAATAAAATATATTACTTTATAAAATAACTTCTTTATGTATACACATTCTTTTTTTTTAACATAGACATTGCCTGAAATATATCTGAAAACGTTAAAAAAATTGTGTGACCATCGTATATGGGACCATCTATAAGAAAAGGACATTATTTCCATTTTTAAAAATCGGGATTTTAGCATATTTTTTTTAGTTAGCTGCTGGTTACAAAGGTGTCTCGCTCACAATAATATTTCCTTTCAAAAGTTATAAAGTTTCCAAGATGGAACTCCAAAAAAGATATTAGTTAGTAAAAAGTTAGTTTTGGCTATGCTGAACGAAACTTTCCAGGGAAATAAGGCCCCTTGTCCCATGGAAAACCGCAGATAGAGTTTTAAAATTATTAAACAGTTGTAATTCTTCTGTCGAAACACATTTTCCTTATTAAAAATCTGTGTCCTCTACGACCCCACTTGTTCGTTACTTGTATACCCCGACTCGTCTGTATCTTTTTTTATCTTTTAATTAAAAAAGTAATATGAATTTTGTTTACCAAGCACTTCAAAATTTCATAGAATTATTATGTACTTAAGTATATTAATTAACTCAAAATCTTCGCTTTAATTAACCAATTATCTATATATAGTATTAATCAACCTATATGCTTTACTAATTTGTTTTCAGTGCCTTGATACAAATATGCTCACTAGTATACTGTAAAACGCACTACCATAATTATTTTTTTCTTACTCAAAAAAAAAACAAGTTTTAATCAAATGGGCGCAATGGGTAAGATTTTATAATATATTGAGTCAATTATCAGCTTCGATTCTTTTTCATATTTTACATTTAAAATTAAAATATATTTTAAATTGTTTGTTTAAGCATTGCGTTTGACGCTAATGTTATAAATAAATAGTTAAGTTGAATTTATAGAGAGGATCAATTCAATTAAAATAAAATAAATTTCAATCAGACAAAACAATTTTATCTTTTATTATTAATTAATCATTCGAGTTATTATTTTTTTCATTTCAGGATTTGGCAATGGGGCACTATTGTTAATGTTGGTAATAGGAACATATGTATATGCAGATGGTAATTCAGATGCAAATTTGAAATTGGGGGAAAATTTCGTCTTATTAGTTGCTGGATCATATGGCTGGCACAATTATAGACATCAAGTAAGTAATAAATTAAACATTTTGATAGTTTTAGTATTTCATAAAATAGAACTATTTGATTGCTATTTTAAAATTATGGTTTTACATCACATCAAGATGGACGATTGATGACGAAGATGTATTATCATTTTTGTTTATACTCAATACTATCAATATTAGTATTCAATACATAAATCATTAACTTCTATAAAGCTAATATTTTTTGTTCTAAGTGTTGTCGTATACGAACTTGGTTCAATAAACGAAAACACACGCTTGAATAACGCTTGTACTTTAGGTCTAACCTGAGTATTATTATAGTATTAATTTAAATGTGTAAATGGCCAGTGTTTCTAATCTCTTAGGAAACTGTACTGTCAGTACTCCCGACTTAGAGCTAAGTATAAAAACTTAGTTGAGCCAGTGACTATTATTTGTACGTTCTTTATAGAGTTAGGGACCAGTTTATCACAATGAAAATTATTATAAATTAACTCAGTGACTATTATTTTGTACGACACCTTTATAGTATTCAAACTATAACGATAGAAGGTAACTCTTTTTAAAGGTAAAATTATAATAACTACAAAAAGATTTACACACAACAAAACACAATTTGCATTAAAAAAAAGTTAGAGTACACAAAACGATATTAAACGCGAAACAAACACCCCTCGTATAAGCGATTATATACGAAAGAGTGACCCCGACAGTCCTCTTCAGGCCGCCTTAAATATGTACTTATTGTCGCATAAGCGTTTTAATAATACAAACCAATATTAGGTAATGTTTAGTTATTTTGTTGTTCCACTACATACTACAGTGTGTAACATGAATTATCTACACATTTTGTAAACAATATTATATTATTTTTGTTTTCAACAAATAAAATAAAATAATGCGAAAATATCAATTGTATATTACTTTTATTTCAATCAATAATATTATATTCGTTGATATTTGAACTACATATTCTATTCCACAGGCAGATGTGGCACACGCATACCAAATAGTCAGAGGAAACGGAATACCAGCTGAAAACATCATTGTGATGATGTATGACGACGTTGCAAACCATACAAGGTAAAAATGTAAAGTTAATTTTTGTAAACTATCAACATTTTATGCAGTTTATATTGACACTAAAATCGAGCCAACGCATGGGCACAAGTCGGCTAATTGCATATACATTTCAAAACTACGTTGTTATATTGTTAGGTTATTAATTTGTTTTTCATGTCTGTTGAACGTAAATTAGTAATCCAGCTCGCGGAACGCTGATCAACCACCCTGGCGGCTCGGACGTATACCATGGTGTTAAGGTCGATTATCAGGGTTATGTGAGTACAATTTCATACGATTAAAAATAAGAATATTATGAAGCATTTGCTAACATTTAATGGCCAACAACTCAATAATAATATTCCATTTAAAATGGTTCTGAATTTGATATTAAAAAACCAAGCGCAGGCATAAGTTGGCTGTCAGGGCCATTAAGTATATATGTATATTGTCGGAATTAGGAAATGTCGTAAAACATTTCTTTAGGTTTTAAAAAATTATACTTTACTACTTATATTGAATTTCATAATTTTACATAAAAAGTCTTATGGTAATGATGCTCGTTTTTCTCGTTTATATGGCATTTGCAGGACATCAAATCCAGTGTTTTATTGAGTGTTCTCAAAGGGAACAAAAGCGGCGTAAAAGGAGTGGGGTCGGGCAGAGTAATTGAAAGGTACATCTTTTTATTTAAATTCAAAGTTGTGAAAATGTTATGTGGATATAAATAATTTGAATACAATTTTACAAGAGAGCAAAAAAAAAATTAATGTAATACTTTCTCGTGGTGATATTTGTTAGTATTTTTAACATAAAAAATTGAAAATAAAATATATACTTAGAAATTGTTTTCAATGGCCAAGTCTATACCTTTAAATTAGTGTTTTAGGATGAAAAAAAATTATTTTAATTCCATTTGATTATTTTACCACCTACATTATATTTTATAATCTTAAAAATAATTTATATTGTAATTTATACTTGTTTACCACGTTTGTTACTGAAGCGGTCCTCGTGACAACATTTTCGTCTATTATACCGACCACGGAGGTCCAGGCATTGTGGGCTTACCAAACGGCGTGTTGTATGCTGACCATCTGATCAATACGTTAAATGAAATGTATATTAGACGAAAATACAACAAAGTAAAATATGTCGTGTTAAATAACAAATATAAATACGAAAATTATATTTTATCTTGTCTTGATCATCGTCAACTGATAATTATTTATTCATTAGATGTTGTTATACGTAGAGGCCTGTGAATCTGGTTCTATGTTCGACGGGCTTCTAGCGGAAGATCAATCAAGTAAGATATACAACATATATGTTATTTAATCACTTTGTATGATGTTTCATTGGTTGTCTGTTCATAGTCTTAGCAGTAACTGCCTCTGGACCTAGAGAGTCCTCTTGGGGATGTTTTTGTGGAGAAGAGTCTGGACCATACAACACGTGTCTCGGAGACCTGTTTAGTGTCACTTTTATGGAAGACTTGGACAATGTAACTGATAAAAAATCCATCTAAGAGTCATTCTGTGTGAAATCAAGAAACGATTTTGCTATGAAGTTTAAAATTAAAAAAAAAACACTATAAAATAATATCTATTTATACAATTTTGGGTTTAAATATAGTTTACCGGGCTCCCTTTTTTTCGATTTTTTTAATCGATAATACTTTAAATGCGTTTTACGAATCTGTAAAACAAAAATTCAGGACGAACATTTGAAGATTGTCGATATCAACATACGGGGCGGGAGCTCTGGCCAAGTTCTTTATACGAATTTCCGATTTATTTCCACATTTCCATTTAAAATTATCTATGACACTGCTATTACTATTTCATGATATTAAATGGTTACTCAGACACTTCCGTAACTTTGTAACTTTCGGAAGACCATTAAATGACATCATTTTTTTAATTAAAAGGAGATGGTTCTGAACTCCATTTTTTTAAAACTTATAATTTTACATCATTCTCGTTATCCATTTTGGTAGCTTATGACATTTTAAGCATAAAATTTCAATATCTATATGACAATAAAAATCTGGATAAAAGATATTGTTTTGGGATCTTGCCGCAGTGTTCTTCAAATATCTATAACTCCCAAACTAAGTTCGTTCTGTAAAACAGTTTTGCAGATTCGTAATCAGCATACATTTTTTTTGTAGGAAAGATTTTTTTTTAAATACAATTTTTTTTTCATCAAATATTTATCTACCTTCAAAAATGTTGATAAAATGTACTCTCTCAAAATATTTGTTCTATTTGTTTTATTATTTTTTTTTTAGATGCAAAATAGTTAACTCATAAATGAATGTTACCCAATGTTTTTCCAAAAGAACTACTATTCTCTCTTTTGGAATTTAAGTATTTTTTGTCTCAAAATGTTGACATTTTCATCAAGTACGCTAATTAAAAAAAAATTTTTAATTTTTTTTAATGAATTAAAGGTAGTTAAAAGTGTAATTTGTTGGAAAAAAATTAAAAAATATCAACTAAGAGAACTAAAAATGAACAAAGTCATATTATCGCGCATAAAATTTAAATTTATTGTCTTTTGGTTTGAACTCAGATCTTATTGATGTCTTTAACTATTTTATAATTATAGCTGAAAATGTAAAAATGGTTATACTATAGTAGGACTTGTTAACTTTAACTCGTTAAGTTACCAGCTAATAATGGAAATACAGCTGTTAGATTAATTTTACAGTTATACTAGATTTTGATAAACATCTATTTACCGACAAACTAAAATTATATAATGGTTCATTTTTTTAGCATATTAATAATGAAGAGAACGCTTCGAGATCTATTTTCAACCAATACCAAACGGTTAGGACAGCCGTTGACATGAGTAACGTTATGGTGTATGGTGACTTCCATGTAGGCTTTGATAAACTATCTTCATTTATTGGTCTTCCTGCAAATAAATCATCAGCCAAGTATTCGCCTAAAACGTACCAGAGCAGGGTGAGTTTGGTCTAAAAACTATTTTGTTGGTTTGCTAACATAGTTCAACATATCTATATTTTATTAAATGTCACCCATTTCGCTCCAAAATGACGTTTATTATTACTTTTAAAGTCTGTCATGTCCAGTCGAGACATATATGAAAAATCTCTCAGTGCTGAAATATCGTCGACTACCGACTTGATCAAACAAAAACTTCTGGAGGGAGAATTGCATCTTTATAGCAAAGTAAGCGTTTTTTATCATGTTGGTAATAATGATTAAGAGTTTTCATATTAAAAAAAAACACCGTTATTATAGCCAAATCCTATGTTCTCAAAATAAACATTCAGTGTTTTCACATTTAAAAATAACACCGTTTAGTTTAATAGTTTTAAGACAAACAAGTATGAATAACTTTCAACCTTCAAGTATCTGTAACTCAGCTGAATTTTGTATCTAGTAACGGGCAACATTATCGATCTTTGACAGTTGAGAGATTTATATTAATAATTTTTGCCAAACCGTATGCTTTCCTAATAAACAATCCTACAGTATTATAATTTATCTGCGAAATAAAACTACACTTAAGAGGATGTCATACCTTTCAATAATAATCGTCATAGAAAAATAAATTTGATAAAGTTAAAATGAGAACTTTAACTAGGGTATCTTGTCGTTTTTTTAGAAGACTTAAATGTACCATTTATACAAGCACCTAAAAACGTAAAAAAATATCAGCAAAAATTGCCTTTACCCAACCACTTTATAAATTAGGGGTATGACGTTCTCTTTATATAAGGCAATAGGGTAACTCAACGAACCTGCATGTGTTCTCACTTATACGAGGATGACATGAGTTTGCTTCTTAAGGCTTCTAGGCTGCAATAACAGCTGTATTAATTAATAGTATAATGATATGTTATTCATCAAATAGACTAAAACATTTATTGACTACGTTCTTCAAACAATCTATACAAAATTGGTTAGTGAAATGCCAAAACTTGCTGCCAAAATTGGTGAATATGAAAATATCGTTCCGATGCAACTTACTATGAATGCATTCCCATGCTACAGAAATATAGTGGATACTATTTCCGAAAAGTGTTTTTCAATAACCGAGGTAATATTGCATATATATATTATGTGGAAATCATTTAAACGCGACACAGAAATTAATTTTTATCGTGATTTGTTTCTAATTTATTTTACTCGGTTTCAGAATTCGTACGCTTTGGGCAAATTGTCTTTCTTGGCAAATATTTGTATCGTCGATAACAGTTTAGACAAAAAGCTGTTACAGTTTGTAGACAATATATGCATTTGACCAAAAATATCTTCTTAAACATTATGATACAGCGTTTAATATGTAGTTTATATGTATTATTTGCAATTTGAAATGGAAATATAATTAGATAATTAAATAAAATTTGTTTTTATTTAATAATTTGAATTCTTACCTAGTCCCACTATATTATTATAAAAATTGTAAAAATTATAAAACTTAATGTTAGACTACAAATTAAAAAAAATATTATACGTGTCTAGTCATTTTTGTTACATTAATATTTTGTTTTATTAAAAAAATGCGTATAGTTTAAAAATACTGGAAAAACAGTACTTCCTCTAACTCGTTGACTATTGTGGTTGAAAAAGAACCATATTATTACTTATGTTATTATTATTATAATGCTGCATTAATCAATACTTGCTAATACCTCTTAACTATTTTAAGGTATCTAAAATACTTAAGACTCTTAATAAAATATTAGCTACCTTTAAGAATATTATAAACAAATGCATTGCCTATTCAGTAATTTCTTATTTCTTATATTAATTATACATTTATAGTTTTGTATAAAAGCGATTTCATCACACTCAGTTCTAAATCAACTATTCCTAAAGTGTTAAGTGGGTTGTTATGATTGATTATGTATTAATGTGTTAAGTACCTATACTGTACACATTATACAGTCATTATCAACCTTCCCTCAATCTTCACTTTACCTAACTAATTACTTATATAAAGTATTGATCGACATATATGGTTTAGTAATTTGTATTCAGCGTCTTGATTCTAATATGCTTATTATTATACTGTTAAACGCACTACCTACTGTTTGTTATTTGCTTTCTACAAATAACAATTTTTCATAAGATGGGCGCAATGGGTAAGATTTAATAATATATTGAGTCAATTATCAGCTTCGATACTTTTTACATTTAAAATCAAAATATATTTTAATTTGTTAATTTGAACATTGCGTTTGACGCCACTGTTACAAAAAAGTAGTTTACTTGAATTTTTAGAGATAATAAATTCAATTAGAATAAAATCAATTTCACTCAGAGAGAAATTTTTATCTTTTATTATTTAATCATTCGGGTTATTAATATTTTTATTTTAGAATTTGGCAAAGTGGCGCTATTGTTAATGCTGGTAACAGTATCATATGGATACGCAGATGAAAATGGGAATTTGGGTAAAAAATTCGTCTTATTAGTAGCTGGATCAAATGGCTGGCACAACTATAGACATCAAGTAAGTAACAAAACTAAGATTCTGATAATTTTGATTTCTAATAAAATAAGAACTATTTGATTCCCATTTTAAAAATATTGTTATATATCACATCAGGATGGACGATACATTTGGTATTGTCATTATTTTAGCTTCGATGCAGATACCTTAATACTTTAATATTATTTATGTATCTTTGCGTTTTGAAACCACGATAAATATTCAATAAAATTATTAACTTTTACATAATGATCTACACATAAATCTACATTTTGTGACAAATAATTCCTTCTACGAAAATATTAATTGGGTATAACTTTTATTGTAATCAATTAGATTATACTAATTGATAATTAAAGTACATAATTTATTACATAGGCAGATGTTTCACACGCGTACCAATTAGTCAGAGGAAACGGAATACCAGCTGAAAACATCATTGTGATGATGTATGACGACGTTGCAAACCATACAAGGTAAAAATGTAAAGTTGATTTTTGTAAGTTATCAACATTTTGTGTAGTTTATAAGTACACTAAATCGAGCCAACGCATGCCACGAGATGACTAATTGCATATACATTTCAAAACTACGTTGTTATATTGTTAGGTTATTAATTTGTTTTTAATGTCTTTTGTATTTAAATTAGTAATCCAACTCCTGGAACGCTGATCAACCGCCCTGACGGCTCCGATGTATACAAAGGTATTAAAATCGATTATTGGGGTGATGTAAGTACAACTTCATACGATTAACTATTATTATATAATCGTTTAGTAGTATTTCATTTTATGATAGAAAACTTGATACTTATATTGCACACAAAAGGGTTCTGAATTTGTTATTGAAAAACCAAGCACAGTTTTAAGTTGGCTGTCTAGTGCCATTAAGTATATATTATATTGACAAAATTAGGAAATATCGATGAGAGAGTTTTGTTCATATTTGCTTATAGCAAAAACCATTGGCATATTATGATTTGATCTTATATTACACTATAAATATCAAAATATTTAAACAGTAAAACGTCATTTTTTTTTTTCTTTGGGTTTTAGAAAAATATTACTTAATCACATATATTAAATTTCATAATATTACATTAGAAGTCTTATTAAAAACCAATATATATTTCTTAATCATAAAGTAATTACTAAGTTCTAATAATGCTCGTTTTTCTCATTTGCATGCCATTTGAAGGACGTCAACACAGACGTATTTTTTAGTGTTCTCAAAGGAAACAAAGGCGGCGTAAAAGGAGTGGGGTCGGGCAGAGTAATCGAAAGGTATATTTTAAAATAAGTTTATAGTAGTGAAAACTTAAAGTGGATATAAATCATTTTAATATAATTTTACAAGAAAACAAAATAAATAATTCACGTAATACATTCTCGTGGTGATATTTATTAGTATTTCGATAATTAAAAAAAAAATTGTAAATAAAATAGATCCTTAGAAATGAATTTCAATTGCAAAAGTCTATACAAATAAAATAGCTTTTTGGGATGCAAAAATATTATTTTAATTCCATTTGATTTTATTACCACTTTAGTATATTTTACATTTTTCAAAATAATTTATGTTATAATTTATACTTTTTAACGCGTTTGTTACTCAAGCGGTCCTCATGACAACATTTTCATCTATTATGCTGACCACGGGTCTACCGGATTTGTGTGCTTTCCGAACGAATTATTGTATGCTGACCAACTGATCAAGGCGTTAAATGAAATGTATATTAGACGAAAATACAAAAAAGTAAAATAATATATACATAAATATCAAAATGATATTTTATCTTGTCTTGATCATCGTCAACACCTAACTGATAATTATTTATTCATTAGATGTTGTTATACATAGAGGCCTGTGAATCTGGTTCTATGTTCGACGGGCTTCTAGCGGAAGATAAAGCAAGTAAGATATACAACATATATATGATTTAATCACTTTATATGACGTCCATTTTTGTTTTATTTGTTGTTTGTTCATAGTTTTAGCAGTAACTGCCTCTGGACCTAGAGAGTCCTCTTGGGCATGTTACTGTGAAGAAGATTCTAGTGGATACGACACGTGTCTCGGAGACCTGTTTAGTGTTACTTGGATGGAAGACTTGGATAATGTAACTGACTAAAAATTCATACATGATCACATTTTCCCTTTCATCGCCAATTTAAAATTTAAACACTCTTAAAATAGATATTCAACAGACTATACCGTTGATATTTTAAGACTCAAAATCAATTTACCAAGTGTTTTTTTCAATTACTCTCTTTTAATTAATTTTTAATTTTAAACACAAAGTAGGTAATTATTTAGAATGAAAAAGGCCATTATATTAAAAATATGGTAATTGTTTTAAAATATAATGGAGGTAGGTAAAAGAATTATTTTTAAAAAAGTTAAATTAAAATAATTTAAAATGAACGAAGTCATATCGCACATAAAATTGAAATGTGTCTTTTTGTTTCAAATCTGATCAAAAAAATGTCTCAAACTATTTCATAATTATAACTGGAAATGCTGGTGGCTTTTTTGTTAACAATACTATTTCACAAATTATTATGTATGCTGTAAAGCACTTAAAACCGCAAAAAAAAACACCTTTAAAATCGATGATCTTTTATTAAATGGAATTTAAATAATAACTCGTTTAGTTACAGGCTAACAATGGAAACACAGTTAGAATAATTTTACAGCGTTACTAGATTTTGATAAATATCTAGTTACTGGCCAGCTTTAATTATATAATGATTAATTTTTTTAGCATACTGTAGCAGACGATTCAAGATCGGTATTCAACCAATTCCAAAAGGTTAGGACTGCCGTACAGTATAGTAACGTTATGGTGTATGGCGACTTCCATGTGGGCCATAATAAACTGTATTCATTTGTTGGTCATCCCGCAAATAATGTAAATTTAGGAAAATCACCGGACAAGTATTCGCCTAAAACTTACCAGAGCAGGGTGAGTTTGATCTTAAAACTATTTTGTTGATTTGCTAACTTAGTCGAACTTAGCTATTTATAAAATGTCACCCTTTTCTCTCCAAAATGACGTTTATTATTTCTTTTAAAGTCTGTCGTGTCCAGTCGAGACATATATGAAAAATCTATCAGTGCTGAAATATCGTTGACTACCGACTTGATCAAACAAAAACTTCTGGAGGAAGAATTGCATCTTTACAGCAAAGTAAGTATTTTTTTATCATGTTCCGATGTTCATAATAGTGATTAAGAGTTTTCATATTAAAATAAAAACACCGTTTTATAGCCAAATCGTATGCTCTCACAATAAACATTCAGAGTTTTTACATTTAAAGATAAAACCGTTTAGTTTAATATGTTTAAGACAAACGAATATGAATAACTTTCAACCTTCAAGTATCTGTAACTCAGCTGAATTTTGTATCTAGTAACGGGCAACATTATCGATCTTTGACGGTTGAGAGAATTCATATTAATGATTATCGCCAAATCGTGTCCTTTCAAAATAAACATCATACATTATCATAATTTATCAGCTAAATAAAACCATACTTAAGAGAATGTCATACCTTTCAAAAATAATCATAAAAACGTGTTTTAGAAAAAACGTTTGAATTAAAGCTAAATGGTCATAGAAAAAAAATATATACCGGTAATTTGAGAACTTTAACTAGGATCTCTCGTCGTTTTTTAGAACACTTAATTTACCTTAAATACAAGCACTTAAAAAATTAAATATATATAAAAAAAAACTGTTTTCGTATGACATTATCTTTATAAACGGGGTAACTCAACAAACCTGCATGGGTTCTCGCTTATATGACATGAGTTTGCTTCTTAAGGCTTCTGAGCTGTAATAACTGTATTGATTAATTGTATAATATTGTGTTAATCGCCAAATAGACTAAAACATTTATCAACCACGTTCTTCGAACAATCTATACAAAATTGATAAGTGAAATACCGAAAATTGCTGCCGAAATTGGTGAATATGATAATACCGCCCCGTTGCAACTTACCATGAACGCATTCCCATGCTACAGAAATATACTGGATAATATTTCCGAAAAGTGTTTTTCAATACCCAAGGTAATACTGAATATATATGTTGAGTTCGTTCAAACGTTACACAGAAATTAATTTTTTTCGTGATTTGTTTCTAATTTATTTTACTCGATTTCAGAATTCGTACGCTTTGGATAAATTGGCTTTCTTGGCAAATATTTGTATCGTCGATAACAGTTTAGACAAAAAGCTGTTAGAGTTTGTAGACAATATATGCGTCTGATCAAAAATATCTTCTTATACAATATGATACAGCGTTTAATATGTAGTTTATATGTATTATTTGCAATTTGAAATGGAAACATAATTAGATAATAAAATAAAATTTGCAATAATAATTGTAAATTAAGATTGTTTTTATTTAATAATTTGAATACCTACCTAGACCAACTATACTGTTAAAAAAAACGTTAAAACTTATAAAACTTAATGTTAGACTACGAATTAAATAAAATATTACACGTGGTTAGTCTTTTTTGTTACATTATTTTTTTGTTCTATTAAATAAAGGCAAATTAAAAGACGTGGGGAATTTAGTACTTCCTATATAACTCATCGACTATTGTGGTTACGAAAGAGCCATATTATTACTTAAAGAGTACCAAAAGTTGCATTAGTCAATACTGGCTAAAACCTCTTAATCATTTTGATGTAAAAATTAAAAAATAAGGCATTAAAACTAATTTAAAAAAAGTAAATTTTGGAAATATTTTCCTTTAATTTTACAAAAGGTTGCAGAACAACTTAATCTCGATTTGTATTTGTGAAACTTTATTTAATTATACTAAAATGGGACTGTGATATTTACACTTAATATTGAAAGTTCTATTTAGGTATTTTCACTCCCTCCTTTTTCCGCTGGGTTTTGACACTTAAGATACATTTACATCAACCAAATGTGAATGATAGGGACAGCCTAAATAATTTTTAAGCAACTAGTTTCTTTGATTAAATTCGTTATTAGCCCTTGGAAACTGCACATCTACATTCCATCTATTTTAGGTACACTACAAATGACATTTGAGTCCTTATATAGTTATGATATTTCACGTACAGAAGGTATACAATATTGAACATCCAACATTAAAATGTTTTCCTAAAAATAATTTTTGTATCAATAAATGTATGTGTTTGTTTAAAACCGGGTACTCTTTGATTTAAGAGAGGCCAGATATTGATAACATTTTTCGGACGTATTTTTAAAATGATTGATTATCTTAATAACTTAATACTTACGTATCTAAACGTTTTTCTATAAAAAATAAATAGAGGTGTATGCTACATAATGTCAATAGCACCGAGTGCTTGTTAAATAATGAAAATCAGTACTAATGTAGGAGGTATACCAATAGCTAACACAATATTGTCACTTGTTGGTAATTTCTATTCGCAATGTTTTTTTTTCAATTTTATAATTTTATTACATATGTGTTGATTAATTTAATATAAGGGACGTTAATTATTGGAAAATATTAGTCTACGCCCAGAAGAAATGGGAGTAGCCGCAAGGCGTGTAAATAGTGTAAATAATTGTCAATTAGTAGATTTTTTTTTTGGCTATTTTAAGATACATAAAATAACTAAAACTCTTAAGAAAATCTTAGCTTGCTTATAAGAATATTATAAACAAATATGCATTGCCTATTGCCTATTCAGTATATTCTTATTATATTAATTATTTATTATATATGAATAAAATTTATAATAAAGGCTATAAAAAAAAAAATTATATATGAATAGTTTTGTATGAAAGCGATTTCATCACACTTAGTTAACCATTCCTAAATATCTGTATCCTTTCCTTACCTTACTTGTTCCTAACTGGTATACCCTGACTTGCCTGTATCTTTATTTATATTTTAATTGTTAAAAAAATATTAATTTTGTTTACCAAGCCATACAAAGTTTCGTAGAATAATTATACACCTAGTTATACTAAATATATTAAAATCTTCGGTTAACTTATAGAACGTGTAATAAATAGTGTCAAGTGGGTTGTTATGATAAACCATGTATTAACCAAGTACCTTTCTATTGTTATTATCAACCTATATGTTGTAATAATTTGTGTTCAGTGTCTCGATTCTAATATGTTTATTAGTATACTGTAAAACGCACTCCTGTTTGTTTGTGTTTTTCTTTCTACAAAAAACCATTTTTAGTAACATGGGTAAGATTTTATAATATATTGAGTCAATTATCAGCTTCTATACTTTTTACATTTAAAATCAAAATATATTTTAATTTGTTAATTTAAGCATTGCGTTTGACGACGCTGTTATATAAAAAGTAGTTAAACTGGATTTATAGAGAAAATCAATTCAACTAGAATAAAATAAATTTCACTCAAAGAGAAATTGTTATGTTTTATTATTTAATCATTCGGCTTATTATTATTTTTATTTTAGGATTCGGCAAAGTGGCACTATTGTTAATGCTGGTAACAGTATCATATGGATACGCAGATGGATATCTGAATTTGGGTAAAAAATTCGTCTTATTAGTTGCTGGATCAAATGGCTGGCGTAACTATAGACATCAAGTAAGTAACAATGCTAAGATTCTGATAATTTTGATTTCTTATAAAATAAGAACTACTTGATTGGCATTTTAAAATTATGGTTTTATATCACAGGATGGGCGATATAATATTTTATATTATCATTTTTGTTTATACTCAGTACTATTCATTTACGCGTTTTGAAACCACAAATAATATTCAACACATAAATCATTAACTTCTATAGAGCTAATATTTTATGTTTTATTTAAGTGTGTAACATGCGTTATCTACACATTTTGTATACATTATATTGTTTTTTTTTAACAAATAAAGACAAATAATGCGAAAAAATCAATAGTGTATTACGTTTATTGCACTCAAATATATTATATTTATTGATATTTACAGTATATAATTTGTTACATAGGCAGATGTTTCACACGCTTACCAAATAGTCAGAGGAAACAGAATACCAGCTGAAAACATCATTGTGATGATGTATGACGACGTTGCAAACCATACAAGGTAAACATGTAAAAATAATTTTTGTAAGCTATCAACATTTTGTGTAGTTTATATCATGTACACTAAAATTGAACCAATGCATGCCACAAGTCGACTAATTGCATATACATTTCAAAACTACGTTGTTATATTGTTAGGTTATTAATTTGTTTTTAATGTCTTTTGTATTTAAATTAGTAATCCAACTCCTGGAACGCTGATCAACCGCCCTGACGGCTCCGATGTATACAAAGGTATTAAAATCGATTATTGGGGTGATGTAAGTACAACTTCATACGATTAAAAATTATTATAAAATATTTTGGTAATATTTCATTTAATGGTCGACAACTTGATAATAATATTGCACACAAAAGGTCAGGAATTTGTTATTGAAATACCAAGCGCAGTCATTAGTTGGCTGTCTAGTGTCATTATGGGTATTATGGTTTTTGCTTATAGCAAAAACCTTTGTCATTTAATTTTTTGATCATTTATCACACTATAAATATCAAAATATTCAAAAAGTTAAACGTCTTTGGTTTTTAGAAAAATATTACTTTATAAAATATATTCAATTTTATAACATTACATTAAATGTCTTATTAAAAACCAATATAATATATTGGTTTTAAAAAATATATATTATATTTCTTTAACATAAAAAAATGAATTTAAAATTCTAATAATGCTTGTTTTTCTTATTTACATGCCATTTGCAGGACGTCAACACTGCCGTATTTTTTAGTGTTCTCAAAGGGAACAAAAGCGGAGTAAAAGGAGTGGGGTCGGGCAGAGTAATCGAAAGGTATAAATGTTAATAAAAGTTTTAAGTAGTGAACATTTAAAGTGGATATAAACAATTGTATATAAGAAAACAAAAAAATAATTCATGCAATGCATTCTCGTGGTGATATTTATTATAGTATTTTGAACATTAAAAATAAAAACTTATAAAACAAAATATATACTTAGGAATGGTTTCCACGACCCACGTCGCCAATTTATATAGTAACTTATATTTTTTTAACACGTTTGTTACTCAAGCGGTCCTCATGACAACATTTTCATATTTTATACTGACCACGGATCTACTGGATTTGTGTGCTTTCCGAACGACTTGTTGTATGCTGATCAACTTATCAAGGCGTTAAATGAAATGTATATTAGACAAAAATACAAAAAAGTAAAATAATATATACATAAATATCAAAATGATATTTTATCTTGTCTTGATCATCGTCAACACCTAACTGATGATTATTTATTCATTAGATGTTGTTATACATAGAGGCCTGTGAATCTGGTTCTATGTTCGACGGCCTTTTAGCGGAAGATAAAGCAAGTAAGATATACAACATATATGTGATTTAATCACTTTATTTGACGTCCATTTTTTATTCATTGTTGTTTGTTCATAGTTTTGGCAGTAACTGCTTCTGGGCCAAGAGAGCTCTCTTGGGCATGTTATTGTGGACAACAATCTGGACTATACCACACGTGTCTCGGAGACCTGTTTAGTGTTACTTGGATGGAAGACTTAGATAATGTAACTAATTAAAAATCCCTAATTTTTTTTTCGTCACATTTTTATCTATCTTCACCAATTTTAAAAAAATTAACACTTACCGTTGATATTTTGAGAGACAAAAAAGTTAAATCGTAATTAAATGTTACCAAATTTATTTCCAAAAGAACTACTATACTCTCTTTTAATTAATTTTAATATACATTTAATACTTTTAGGTAAGTATTTAAAATTAAAATATTTTTTGTCTCCAAATTTTGACACCGTATTTAAGTAGGCCAATTTAAATATATTGGTGATTGTTTTAAAAATATTGGAGCTAGGTAAAAGAGTAATTATAACTGAAAATGTGAATTTGTTTATACCATAGTAGAAAATATTTGTGGTAATTTTGCATTGATATGGCGGCTTTTCTGTTAAAGCGAGTAGCAATATTATCTTACAAATTATTATGGACACTGTAAAGCACTAAACCCCCCCCCCCCCAAAAAAAAAAAAAAAATAAAAACCTATAAAATCGATGTGATGCTATATTTTACTAAATGTAATTTAAATAATAACTCGTTCAGTTACAAGCTAATAATGGAAACACAGTTAGATTAACTTTATAGCGTTACTAGATTTTGATATATTTATTAACATTTAGTTACTGACGAGCTTTAATTATTTAATGATAAATTTATTGAGCAGACTATAGCGGACGCTTCAAAATCGGTATTCAACCAATTTCAAACGGTTAGGACAGCCGTAAACCGTAGTAACGTTATGGTATATGGCGACTTCTTTGTGGGCCATAGTAAACTGTATTCATTTATTGGTCGTTCCGCAAATAAAGTAAACTTAGAAAAATCACCGGCCAAGTATTCGCCTAAAACGTACCAGAGCGGGGTGAGTTTGATCTTAAACATATTTTGTAGATTTGCTAATATAGTTGAGCTTAGCTATTTATAAAATGTCACCCTTTTGGCACCAAAATGACCTTTGTTATTACTTTTAAAGTCTATTGTGTCCAGTCGAGACGTATGGGAAAAATCTGTCCGAGATGACCTAGCGTCGACCACCGACTTGAACAAACAAAAACTTCTGAAGGAAGAATTGCATCTTTACAGCAAAGTAAGCCTATTTATTATGTTTGTAACAGTGATCAAGTGTTTTTACATCTAAAAAAACCGTTATTTTAGCCAAATCGTATACTTTCAAAATAAACAATCGTACAGTATCCTAATTTATCTGTTATATAAAACACATTTAAAAGGATGTCATATCCTTCAAAAATAACCGTATAACTTGTTTATGGATAAGCGTGTGTATCCAAGTGTAATGGTCATAGAAAAAAAATTGATACCGTTAAAATGAGAAGAACTTAACAAGATTTTTTCGTCGGTATTAATTAGTTAATCATCGGAAAATTAAATTTTACTTTAAAACATACACTTAAAAAAGTAAAAACATATCAGAAATAAAATTGTGAATGTTGGATAAATAATATTAAAAAAGCCGACGAGAAACCCAACAATAAGTTCTTATTATTTTAATATCTAAACAAAATATGTCTACGATTACTATTTAGTCAATAATAGAAAATACACCTAGCAGTGTTTAGATTGTAAAATTTTGTTGATCACTGTCAAAGATTTTATTGTGATAGTCCGAAAATTAAATTAATTAGCAAAAAAAGTTCTAATTAATAAACTAAAAATTACACATTACAGCTCAAGCTTTGAATTAAGATTCCATTTAGATAAAAAATTGCCCATACCCAAATCTTTAATAAATAGGGGGGTATGACGTCCTCTTTCTAAAATTCAATAGGGTAACTCATCAAACCTGCATGGGTTCTTACTTATATGACATGAGTTGGCTCCTTAAGGCTTCCGGACTGTAATAACTGTACTAATTAATTGTATAATATTGTATTATTCATCAAACAGACTAAGACATTTATCGACCACGTTCTTCGAACAATTTATACAAAGTTGATAAGTGAAGCACCGGAACTTGCTGCCGAAATTGGTGAATATGAAAATACCGCGCCGTTGCAACTTACTATAAATGCATTCCCATGCTACAGAAATATATTGGATAATATTTCCAAAAAGTGTTTTTCAATACCCAAGGTAATACTGAATATATATGTGGAGTTCGTTCAAACGTTATACAGAAATTAATTTTTATTGTGATTTGTGTACAATTTATTTTTACTCGGTTTCAGAATACGTACGCTTTGGACAAATTGACTTTCTTGGCAAATATTTGTATCGTCGACAACAGTTTAGACAAAAAGCTATTGGAGTTTGTAGACATTATATGCGCTTGATCAATAATCCCAAAATAAATTTTTTAACATATTGATACAACATTTAATAAGTAGGTTATTTGCAATTTAAAATGGAAACATAATTAGGTGATAAAATAAAATTTGCATACATTATTATAAATTAAGATTGTTTTTATTTAATAATTTTAATATCTACCTAGTCCAACTATATTGTTAAAAAAAGCCACTACAGGGGGGTTCAGGACATAGTGGGGACGCGGAGGTCAATTTTTTTTTACTCGGTTTCAGAATACGTACGCTTTGGACAAATTGACGTTCCTGACAAATATTTGTATCGTCGACAATAGTTTAGACAAAAAGCTGCTAGAGTTTGTAGAGAATACATGCGCTTGGTCTAAAATCCCAAAATGATTTTTCAAACATTATGATAGTACTTCCTCTAACTTGTCGACTTTTGTGGTTACAAAAGGACCACATTTTTACTTAAAAAATACCCAATGAAAATATTTAGCTGTATTAATCATTATTGGCTGATAATTATGTATTTTTTTATGTAAAAATAAAAAAATATCGCATAAAAACTAAATTTTAAGAAGTAAATTTAAGAAATGTTTTACTATTATTTTTTAACAGGTTGTGGGAACCACTTACTACCATTTTGTATTTAATTATACTAAAACCAGACTACGTTATTTACACTTAATAATAAATATTCTATTCAGGTATTCTTTTCTCCTCGTTTTCCGATATTATAAACCAAATTAGTTCTTGGTCCTTGGAAACCCTGGGTTATCCTTGGTAAATATATTTTTTAGTAATACTATATATTCACATACGTATTTAAAGAATTGCGTTATTAATATTCTTACTTCAATAATATAAAAAATCATTAATAATACTAAAATAATTAATAATACTTTAAATATTCAACCAAACTAAAAAGAAAAAAATACTACACTGATTATTATCCGCTTCAATCGCCATCAAATGAATAAAAAAAAATCGTCTCAACTTACTTGACTGCTCCGGTGTTGGAGGCCATTAGTAATATTTTATATAAGCAAACTTTATAGTCATCACAACGGTAAGTTCATTACATCTAAATACACCCTTTGAAACTAACAAGATTATCAGATATTATGTACTACTTCATTTAAAATAAACTGAAATCTACCCATGGAAATAACAAAAAAAAAACACTGTCATAAACCGTTCAATGAGACAGACACATCTCGCACCCCTGGATTATTTTTGCAGAGGCTGACAAGAGTGAAATTTTGTTTTGTCCCAGAGAAGAGTCAACCCTCATTTATTGAAAAACTAATAAAAATTTTAATCATCATACGATATAGTAACTTTTAAACGAACCGTCTATTTGTAACATTTGTCATGTTTACATTTTTGACAGGTTCATTCAGTACAAATAATTATTTAAAAATACAAATTTTTAAGCGTTGTTGCGTTAATAAAATGTAATGTTCATAAAAATGTTTATGATTGTAATAAAAAAAATTAACAAACATTTTAATTTTTATGGTCGAATAAACGTATTTGTACCTGCATGTGAGGTATTGCTCAAATCCGGAGTAATAAAAATGTAATTTTGTTATTTAAAAAGTCAGGTATATCACACGTTTTATAAAATGTTGATTGTGTTCATGTTTTTTATGTAATCTTAATCAGTGATGTGTGTTGATCACTAATTTTGATTAGAGACGTTAGGGATCAGAAAAAATTGCTATAAAGTTAAGTAAAGTTTAAGTGTTACCCATATAACGGCTTGCGTACAAGTCCACAACACGGGATATATTTTATGTCCACGGGAGGATATAAAGATATGTTGACTGATCAGCAAGTGGACCAAACCCATACCAGAGTATTTTGCAATTCCAAAAATCTAGTCTACTTAAAGTCTTGGTTTTTAGTATCGAAATGTGCTTACAAAATAATATATTGACATACACAAATAACACATCATATTTAAAATAAAATAAATGTTTTTTGAAAGTTACTAATTCTTCCAACGAGCAAAAAAATAAAACAAAAACCAATACCTTCTCAGCTTCACAACGAAGTAAAAATAAAATCAAATAACTTGTTCGAAGTATGAAATCAGTTTTATTCACATATAAATTAATTAGAGAGATCGCTACGATAAACAGGTATACCTATGTATAAATTGACAGCGTACGAATAATTTAACTCAAAATTATACTATAAAGTTTCAAATAATTAATTATTTACGGTTTAAGAAAGCGATATTAATAATTTAGTTGTGATATCAACTAATGTAGTCTTTGTAATTCTTTAATAGTAAGCAGGGCGAAAGTGATCTGATCCCGGACATTAGCTTCTCTGTTTTGTAATTGTTTTATGCGAGCCCTTAATACTTTGTTGCGGTTCTGAATAAAAGACATCGCTTCGGATTGAGTAAATTCCAGATAATGTCCCAAACCAACACATACCAAAAAAAATTGTGGTACAGTGTTTGCTTGCATGTAAACATCACAGCCAATGTTTATCTGGGCGTTTAACGATTTGCCTGTCTCCTCAGATACCAATTGACTCATTGTCCGTATCGAGTTGTATATGTCTTCCAACTTCATAATTTGCTCATTTGCCTTTTCTAAAGCCACATGTAAATTCTTCAGGTTTTCCTTAAGTACGTCGTTGATGAACATCTCAAACTTGGCCACCTTTTGTTCCAATGTTTCCCCAAACGGCATAATTGTTACGAACAGCTTTATACCTAGAAATATAATTTACACATAGGTTTGAATACAGCTCTATAGCTACTCGTTGAATTACAATTTCCAGTCTTTAAAGTCTATAACATGTCATTTTATTTATATAATATTACTTATTAGATTGATCCCTAATAATAATAATTTAATAATATTTAAGAAAAGTTGATAAAAAAAAAATTGGTACTTTCGTTTTTAATATAATCTTAAATACGAATAGATTATTGTAGGTCGATAGGAAATTTTAATTTCTTTTAGAGAAAATAGTAGTATTATATTTGTCGGAAAACGGACAAAAAGTGATAAGTGGCTTAAGTCATTTTAACGAAAAACGAAGACGCCCTAATTTTCATCCGAATTAAATTTCATCTAGCTTAACTTATAAAATAAACCAGGCCTGATTCGACTTATGTCTAATTAAAAAATCTCCCAAATTTACCTGGTCTGAATACAAATTGATTATATTCCATAAACAAAATCACATTAACTTTGAATCATGGTTTAAAACCATAAATTAAACAATGTTTAAGTTTTAGATAGTGGTGTTCTTTGATTTGTTTGTATAAATAAATAGTGTAGGGAGTGGTCAGTAATAGCTAGTGGTTAGTGTATTATTAATTAATTATGTTTATTAATGAATTAATGATAGAGTAGATCGATGTAGGTTATAGGTAATAAAATATATACACTCGAATCCTTTCTTACAAAACAAAATTATAAATTTAGGAATAGAACGTCTGTAGTTAAACGAAAGACTAATGATAATTTACATACAAGGCTCAACAAACCGATTTTAAGAGAGCTTTCTAAATAAAATGTTTCAATGAATTTATAAATTTCAAGAGAAATATAATTATTAACCAACCTTTTTTTCTACAACACCGAAAAATTTAGACGAAACTTTTCAGCAAATAAATGGGAAGGATAATGCACACATTATAAAAGCATTGTCCAACCCATCCGCCAGTACGATTTTATAAAATTGGTTTGAACGGGATCTCCCCATACCGTAATCCCTATTTTTTTTCGCTCAGAAATTAAATGTTTTTATGCATTCAGGCGTGGTAACGGAGCGACCTAGGGTCGGTACAGTTTCCACCCCTCTAATCCGATTGGCTCCCAGCTCGTCTCGTTAGTATCGCATCACTTTGGAAAATAAATATTGAGTTTTATGGTAGTTTCGAAACAAGTTATTGTGATAAAATCAACTACATTGGCACATGTTATGCAATAAAAAACGTTTTGTTTCCCTTATTCCCAACAGTCGTTGGCTTATCAACAGTGGCAATTATTTCGGACCAAAAAACCCGACAACAATAGATGGTCCATTTAGCCACCCATACTTAAAAACAAATTTTCTGTTTTGTCCAGCGTAGTCAACTGTGTAATCCTGTCATTTAATACGCTAGCCTACTCTTAGCTCTGCTCTTGGGGTGTTTCCGATGTAGCTAAAAAAAATTACTTACATAAGGAAGGTGTTTATTTTCGTTTTACAACCGCTAACGAACAGCTGTACATAATTATAGTCGTCCGAAAAGAGATTGGCAAACGAACACCGACGAGAATCGACTGACAGAACCCCAAGGGTTCATTGAAGGGTCCCACTTCTGAGAGTGAACCTTGGGGTGTAGGGGACTTGGTACTGGGGTAGATGAATATTGTATGTTGAAACAACAATACAAGTACAATAAAGCAACGCTTACACGCATACTGCGCGCACAATATAATACAATGTGACCGTATCTCCGGACTTCTTTGATATTTACTGACAATAGAGGGTCTTTTTTTTTTCCAAACCGGACACATAATAACAGGGTAGCGTATGAACCGCGCACAGCTGTCGAATTTCGACCGAGGGTGCACCATTTAGATTAAAAAATACAATGCACCGACCCTATTTGACACCAAATTCGAACAGCTGCCGGGACGAGAAATAATAATTTACCTCATACCGCTAGGCATGAATATGGATAAACGTTGTTTAGAATATGTAATGTATTTTCTTGGTCGGCTTGGTCTGTATGGATATCTATACTATTCGATACACATCGGACCTTACCGGTAGTACAACAGTTTAATGGATTTATACGAAAAACGACCATCTCTCAACGAGATAATAATTCTGAGCTCGAATTCAAACTGAAAGAACTAGTACACCTCTGACCTCATACAATATATATTTTATAACACACCTACGAGCGAATTTATGAGGATAGCTATGTACATTATCACTGCAGTTAAAACTACATTGAACAACAAGTAACGACATATCCGTGACAAATTATAACGTGATGGTCGCTAAGTGTAATTTGTACTTTAGAAAACTATTCAGTCTACACAAGGGTATGGTTTGGCATAGTACAGCTACAGGTGACACATACACCAAATGTTTGCATTAGGCTCCACCGCAAGTATTCTTACTTACAACCGAAAAAATTTGAAACAAACAAATACTTCTGAAAATCGAATGGCCTTTCCAAAACTTTTAAAAAAAAAAAGTTAAATAACAGCGCAAAAAAAAATATGCCGTTGAGTTTCCAATGCGATCTAGGATGGTTAATATACCATCATGGAAACTCACCGGGAACCTAATTTTTTTTTTTGCTGTTAGGGAATGTTCTTAAAAATTCAACCAGTGGTAAAATATCAGGTACCTAAATAACCATCACGATATTAATGCAGAAAAAAGCTACTAGAAGGAAAAAGATAAGCCGTGAAAACAATTGATTAATTAAATAAAACTAATAATCAATCTAAGGGTTAAAGTAATATCAGGTACATGCATAATATACCTAATATCGGTATTAGGTATAATACCGATGATTTACATGATCATTCTGCGGTTATATATCATAAAATGAAAACTATTTAAAATAAACTTAGGCATTTTCCTACGCGCTATTCGATATTCCAGTTAAATGCCGAATAGATGACGAAACGACTTATAGAAATGCCGTGTGATCAAAGATATAGGCACAGCGGATCCGGGTAACTTTATTGTGTACTTCAAAATTTTAAAAATATAACAACCCCAGTCAAAAAGATTGAATAACACAGTTCTGGTCCACGGATCTTGTCGCCGTGTTGAAAATGCGCACTTTAAGCACTGCAATGTTTTATGAAATTGATTTTTGTATCCCGTGGTTAAAATGGCTCGCAGTACATGCGCATACATCGCTCCGCTCTCCCGCTTTAACACGACCTAGTAAAAACCGCTGGCCATATTTAATGCGTATAGTATTAACTTTAGGTTCTTCAGCAACAGTTCAGTTTGTACAACATACCTGCGTACGCGACGATACCATGGACGATTCTGATACAAAGGTGAGAATTCTAAGATTTAGTTGTACATTTACGACAAATTGTATCGTTTGAATATTCGTGTATTTAAGTACATAAATATGCCGTTTTTTTTATATAGGTATATTTTATACCTTTTTTTCCCTTTTGTATCGGACATACGTTGTACCTGACCCCAACCCCACCCTCATGTTATACCAAACGTTGTTGAATATATTTTTGTATGCTTTGTGTGTGAAATGCTTACATACAATTTATGCATTATATTCATAGTTAGATTAGATATTATTTAACATTAAGCAGACATGCTATCTATTAAATTGCTGTGATTAGTAAAATAACAAGTACTCGGCGTATGTCCATATTTAAAAATATGGGATTAATATAAACAATGTTAATGGAAATATTTTTTTTTTTAATCTTACTGGTATTCTGCTCAACACTGATACGGCCTATATTATTATTTCAATCTTCACTTAGGAATGCTGTGGATAATTATGTCAGTTAACTAGCTGCTAATAAACTCGTATGTTTGTCAATTATTGTTTGATAGCTACTAATTATTAGTATATAGTGTTGCGTAAAAGAAAGGTCTATATCTTTTTATGTTTTAATTTAAAATACAAAAACAAATGGGAGAAATATAGACTAGAAGACACAGTTTTATTTTCCACGCATTCCTCCTTAATTACAATACAACTTTACAAACTATAAATAATCTAATGAATCTATCTATCTATTTGCAATAAACTTTTTAAAAAGACAAAACAAATTCAAATTTCAAAAACCACATTGGTTTCATTATGGTTACGACCCGTATTTTTTATTAAAAAACCCTAAACAAGATTAAGCTTATGAAGTAATCGAATCATTTTTCTCCTATTAAATAATAACATAAAACTTTTTACAGTCCACACTCCACATAGATGTACTATTTTTCCCAAATACCAAAAATAAAATATTAATAAAAACGCTGTAATAACGCTATTATAACTTAAACTATTATCACGGCTTTAAAAAGAGGATTTTTATAAATCTGAGATTTATGAGGACCGTAAAAAGTTTTCTTTTGTACATTTTTTTTTTTGTTAAATCCTACCATAATCGCGGGACATAATTCACTTTTTTGTCCTTTGGGCTTTGAATTTTACCGCGTTAAGTAGCTAGTAAGAAGCTCAAATCTCATTACAAAAAATGTCAATGGGTATTAAAAAAATACAATTAGGTGGTGTTATTCAATAAAATGCTTTTCAGTGTTTTAATGAGGACTAGGGTCAATATACATTATTCTGTATGCTACTGTAGAACAAGTTTTTTGTTTGATTTTTAGGTTTTTTGCCAAACGTTTCAATCTCTAGAACTATTTGATTCCAAGTTTGGTTTTATCAATATTACTTAATAACCAAGTTCTTAATTAACTGTTGAGACATAACTTCAGATATCATTTTTAATTTTTTAACATTTTTTTATGTCCAAATCGAATAAGCTGAAAATGTTCGAATACACTTAAATTAGCTGTCCTGAAAAATTACATAGTTACACTTGAAACTTTTTGGACCCAAGCCCGCGCATTTGTCTTTTTTACCATAGTCATTTTTCACCTCCAAAATGACTTAAAGAAAAAATTCTACGCCTTATAGTAATTCTTAGTTTTTTTAATAACCGTCTGTAAAGTAAAGAGAAAGAAGAAATATTTAAAAATAAAGATAAAAATGTGTTACATTATATGCACATAATACTATTATCATTACATTATGCATAACATTTATTCTATAGTCAGCAGTAGGTAAATAGTAAATATAAATAATAGCAGGTATTATTTGCTGTAGCATATTTAAAGCAAAAAGAACCCACCAGAAACGACCAGAAACGTTAGGAAGGGCGCACTTTGAAATAATAATTCAAAGAAGGGACGCCATTAAATTGTTTTAATGAGAGTACTAAAATCTAAACAGGCTATTCATTATTTTCACTAAGCCATTTTCCCACAGTGCTTGTAGAAGTAAAATCTTATTTATAGGGCCGTATTTTGTTTGCGCTCTCGTGCACTAGTCAATCTAAATGTATACAATCGTTTTTAAAAGAAGAACTTATAAGACATTTTGGATATAAACTGTCGTTAGTTAGAGTCACCATACATATTAGATGCTCCATAAATAATTTGCTCGATTTGACAATTTTTTGCGCCAAATGTAGATGGATACGTTAATTTTTGTTTAACTTTAATAAACCCCAAAACTCCTGTTTTTCTTTAATAAAAAGAAAAATGAAATAAAGGTTTCAAAAAGAAAATTGAATTGCATTTTACAATAGTATTTCACTATATTATAATTATAAGCTAATATGGCCTATCTAAATTAATGCATTGAAAACAAAACGGATGTCATTATCTCCTTTTGAGGGATAGTTTTAGCAACTTTTTTTTTAACAAGTTTAAAACTAATTGATTTATAAAAGTATTCCTAGTAAAAGTATAGAAAAAGTTAGTAGTTATAGTAAATTTACTTTAAAAATATTTTTTTCATATTATTTTAGAGAAGAAACACTTTTAAATCATATCATTTGGGGGACCAAATTTTTTATTGTGTGTGACAGCTACCGAACTGGTTCTGGGTGTATTGCACAGCTATTATAGCGGACGGAAGTAATAGCGAGCATTTGTATAAATTATAACGATGTAGTATTCCCGTAGCTAGAATCGTTTTATGGGATAGATGGGAGAGCACTGCGGATATATTAATAATTTTGCTGTTGCCAATAATTCTCAAAATATTTAAGAAATATTTTTAAAACACTAATTTTATCAATAGGTACCTGGCAATAAATATGACTTTAAAATATACACCTATTTACAATAATTAAAAAAATGCTTAAAATTATAACACAATGTTATCATTTTAGAAAAACGGTGTGTTCGTTCTTTTTCGAACAAGTACTAAAATACATCTGAAGTCTAATAGCCGCAGATTTTCTCTGGCATATTATACAGTTATATTTTAAATCATCTTCCAAGTTATAAACACACACTTTTTTCGTATTTACAGTGTTTTGAACGTAAAATTAATTTTCTAAAATTTACAATAAACAATATTGTTTATTTTGTTTTCTTTGCTGTATTCAGATTTGTTCTCAAAATGTATACATCCACCACGGGTTTGTAATGAGGATCAATTTTTGTTTTACCCATTTAACTCGAAAACATTGTTATAACTTATGGGGACCTATTCGAACAAAGGCGCAGTCTCTAATTTCATTTTTACAACGTCAAATCAATTATTACTGAATATATTTCGTAAAAGAGCAAACGCATAACGCTTAAGTATACATTTTTTAAAACGTGACGTCTTTCATTATTTAAATTTTAAAATACGTCAACGGTAATAACAATGTAGGTATAATTTAATTTAAACCAGGACAGGATTTTCCCAGCTTTAATTTCCCAAGGAGCAAAAAAACTTGTTTCGGTTCCTTAAGTACGTTAGAGTGCTCTTGGTCGTTTTCGTAGAATTAATTAAATGGGACGTGATTTAAAAAAAACCATTATTTTGGAAAGGTGACACATAGGTGGCATGTGCGTACTTGGGAAAATTGATTGTATTTACAATATTTGTGCAGGTGTAAAACATCTTAAAAAAAAATCTTTGATTACTTTAATACTATTGTTTAATCAACTGCGTTTATAGTTCATTCACCTACGCAATATTTAAATACCTACGTTCACTAGGGGGTTGTACTTATTTAAATACAGCGTAACCGAAATTGTTATTTACATAATATAATGAATACAAATGTTACGTAAAATAACAATCATGAAAAAAAAACCACGGTTTAGTGTAGGATATAATAAATAAAATAATTTTCGGCAAACCCATTTAGAATAATATATTCATTTTAAACGGTAAAAAGATGAAAAAACAAAACTACGTCCTAGGTAGGCAGGTAGTAAAACAACCAATTGTCAGAAACCAGAAATATCTTGTTCATCGGTCCGTGGCCAAAAATTATAATCATTTTACGTTAATTGTATAGAAGTGCACAATACAACATGTACATTATACGCACAAAGAGGAAAATATAATAGCTTATCATTATTATTATTATTTTTTTTTTTAATTGTTACGGATTATCGCAGGACATAGGAACAACGGTAATAATACTGTACGAATATGACGTATTTTTTTTGTTTTTCCTGCCGTAGATAAGAACCATGGGTAATAAACGTAGTACAATTATTGCGTGTTACGTCGTAAGAGGACTCTTACCTCGACGTCCAGCCGTTTGTATGTTTTGTGATAATAATATTATTATGTACAACGGGGATAAAACAAAAATGTACAACGCAATACGTGCACGCCGGTTGAGAACCACTGGCTGGGGCCGGGGACGAATATCGTGCTGCGTAGTGCGTACAAACGCACTTGTCCGCAGCGCGACGGCGGCTGCCTCCATCGAGCGGAACCGCGTACTCTGCTCGAGCGGCGGCGGCGCGGCGGCCATTGTGGAGGTAGAAATCGAAAAGCAGCAACGGCAACAACAACAACAACAAAACATAGTCAGCGTTATCAGCGGTACGCTATCAACGATTTGACCGCCATTCCGTAACTTCGCAGTAGATTTTGTTTTCGTTTGCGTTCGGTCGATTGTTTACCGAAAAACCGAACGATATAACTTCGAATCGCGCTCGTTCTAGTCGTTCAATCGTTCGCAGCCGTCGTCTGCCGAACGACCGCAATCGGCCGGCCGTGTGTAGTTGTCAAAATTCACCGTACCCGTTTTGCAGTGGCCGTCCGTCTTTAACCTTTCTTGGGCAACATCAGTGCCGTCTTTTCAACTGGCAGAGCAGTATTTCTATAATGAACGAGGTAACAATTTGTTGGCTAACGCATATTTTGAAACATTTTATTCCAACTTGATCCGCGGCGATCATCGATGTTACACCCGACAGTAGACGCGCTGTGGTCGATGACTATTCTGTTATAACGCTGCGTTAAACAATTATGACGTTAAACGTTAGATCATATTATCTTCCTTAACACCAAACCAAATTAATAACAGTATTGTTTAAATTGTTAAATTGTAATATCGTACGGTTTTGCCGTCATCGTAAAACTGTGTTTGTTACTGTACTTAGTCTATGGCCTACAACGAAACAGCAATTCTGAGTGATCGTTATTATATTGTATAGCTTTAGCCGGGTCTACACTGCCCCACAAAACGTTTGTCAATTACATAGGTTTTTGTGCACGTAGATACGTTACCACAAACATTGCATTGGCGTTTGATGTTTCACACAGATTACCGAACATGTTTGCTAATGTTTTGTGCGGGAGTGTGTACGCAGCTTTACATGGGACACATATTAATTAACAAGTTGACCGCCATATGGCCGCTGTTTGATATTCAATGATACTCTATTTATAATTTCAATCTTGTTTCACTCATTTTGAACTCTGGTTAAATTCGTATGAATAGATTTAAGTTAAATGACACAAACATATTTTAAGAGGTATTTACTCAATATCCTTTTTCGTGCACCCATAATTATTTATGCATTGCATATTATTTGATAGCATCATATGAGTTAAGTTGTAAACAATTATCTACGTGACATATTGTACTATTCGCGCACTTTCGCGATTTTATATATTATACGAACGAACAAGCTATATTTATTTTTTATTGATTCTAATAAAAAATTTTAAACTATAGGCAAGAATATTATTATTATGATTCTCAAAAAATGATTTGTTAGCTGTGTAGAATGAGCTTTTTCTTACTTTTTTTAGTATGACAAAATAATGAAAACTCTTTGGTTACTTTAGTTTAATATAACACGTTCATAGTGAAAAAATACATTTCACAAAAACGTTATATTCAAACTCTAATTAATATTTAATTTTATCTATAGCTATTAAGTAATTAAATTTAAATTATTTTTATACGCAGAATGTATTCTTTTTGGAAAAGATTTTATGTGTTAAATTTAAACATAAAATCTAGAAGTGCATCTATAAGCTCAGTTTGTTTGAATTTGGTACATCAAATTTTAATTTTTAATTTTTATAAATAACCGACTAAGTAAAGTTTTATATAACAATTATTTATCACTAATTACTAGTTATTTTTCACATTTTATTTGTGTCCAACTAGAAAAATTCAAACTAGCAGCTGTTGCCGCTAGCACTACTACCTTAATCTACTCGGCTACTCTGTCCCTATATTGTTTCTATTATTGATGGGAATCTGAAAATCCGGATTTTTCAAAAAAACGCTTTTTAAGTCATTTAAAAATCATATAATTGTTAAATACTATTACAATATAAAGATGTGTACCTAAGTAAAATTTGTTGATAAAAATTTTTAAAAAAACTCTTAACTTTGTCTATAAAATGCTTTCGGATTCCGGATTATCGGATTTCAACAAATCCGAAATTCAAAAGCAGTTTATCTCTTTGGTGTTTTGTTTTATTTTCACATATTTATCAAAAAAATGTTACTTAGATATAGAGCTTCATATTGTAAAATTATTTAACACTTTATGATTTTTAAGTAGCTTAAATAGCGTTTTTTGTGAAAATCCGGATTTTCCGATTCCCATCACTAGTTTCTATAGTTAATAAAACGCATTTCTGAGTAAAAATATTGAAACTGTGTAATGTTTATTTTTTTTATTCTTGTGATTACTTTATAATAATTTTTTATGGATTGCTGATAAGATGCTCTTGCCAATCAATTACGTTTTCTGTATTTCAATTTGGATTTTAATGAGTAAACGCTTGCATTGAAATTTGGGGGAAAATTACATTATTAATAATGGTTATTGAAAAAATATTCATTATTGAAAATGTTATTATTTTACAAAGAAAGATTTGTCATGACTATACTAATAAATACATCTGAATATACTGTGTACATAAGTGTTTTAGCTTTAAATTATTATTTCCCAGAAAAAAACCTATGCATATTACTTCTTAATAAATAGAGGTGACGTCTTCTTAACATTTACAGTTTACAATAACTGAAAAGGTAATTGTAAATTTATTTAACTCGCCCTAAAAAAATACATAATATACTAAGATCTCTTCTTAATAGGCAATATTATTGTTATAAATTTCAAGTATTTTAAGTTTTTTGTTGTTAAAACAGTCTAAAAAAATTAGTAATATTGTATCAACCATTTTTCAGATGACTCCGGAGACTCATGATGAATCCAAACCTACAGGTAAGTTAAATATTTTATCATTTTTAGAAATGGAAATACTAATATTGTATGATGGTGAAGAAGACATGATTATAATCAAAGTTAAATTGATTTTAGATGAAACTGGCAAAGACATCTCAAATGATAAAGATTTTATAATTCATGCTGATGAAAATGACGATGAAACTACAATGGAAGAAGAAGAAGCTCTACCTGAATTAGAAGATCCAATGCGCGAAATACGGTTCTTAGAGGAGGTAAATTAAAACAAATTACTTATTTTTATAATTCAAATATTTTTTTCGCCTTTTTGTTTTATAACAGTTTTAATTAGGGATTTAAGTTATTATTAATTAGTTGATATCAAATTTCTTGTTTCTAGGAAAGCCATATGCCTATTGATGAACTCATGCTTATGTATGGTTATCCAAGTGCTTATTCAACAGAAACTAATTCAAATGACAAAAGAAGCAAAAAAAGAAATCATTCTAAGAAGAATAAAAATAAGAAAAGAAGGGTATAGTTGTATTAATATTTATTATAAATTAACAAAATTAATTCTAATAATTCTATTAGCAGATTAAAAATTGCTATAAAAATAATTATGGTTTGACATCTCATTCAATATCAGTTGGGATAATTATAAAAAAAAAAATATCAGTTTAATAGTTGGGTATGCTATTTTATATATTTTCAAATATCGATGGCATACATCATTGGGGTGTCATAAATTTCACTTAACGGTTATCATTTTACAGGAACAATGTTTTAAAATGTCAAACACTACATCATTTGATGTATTTAATGAACTTGGTGTGGTCTCTAGCAACAAACATTTGAATATTTGACTTCCAATATTTGTACAAGATGTGTTTACTGCAATTAGGTATCTATTGCTACTTATTTCTTAAAAATTCACTAATCATACCACCGCCGAACGCCCCATTGAATCAAATCCGCAAGCTGAAATTTAAGTTGACTTTTTGGTTTTTCACTACCCTACTGCTCACTTAAATTGTGATATTAAATTGTTTTTGTAACTAAATTGATATTATATTTACACCAGTGAAAAAGAGTTCAATGTAGATTTATGTCCAACATACCTAAACCAGCTACTTGAGAGAGTTCATTCGGTAAAAGAGGTACATGTTTAGAGGTAGTGTTGAGTGAAGCCAGCTGCCATGTTGTAAGATAGTAACTATTTCATAAAAGTTAGCTCTGATTTAAAATTTCATGTAACAGAAATTATCGCTAATAAAATTATAATACGTTTATCTCAATATCAATTGTAATGTTAATACAATTTTATTTCTCCATTTATTATAGAAAGTTCCTTCGGCTACCGCAGATGATGTATCAGGTAATATTATCATATTTAAAATATTTTCATTTTCTACTCTTTTACTGAGTTAAGACGATTTTTCTTATGAATGAATTTTTTTTTGTTAATATTTATAATATCAGTCAAAATATTATCTCTTCCAACTATTTTGATCAAACATTATCCTATTTTTTTAATTGACTGCTACTCACTGATGGACAATTTATAATGATATTTTTAAAGTTATTAATAATATAATTACTTTTAAATTTTATATTAGTTAATACTCGAGTTGTTCTTAACTTTATGATAGACAAATAACAATGTATCGTTTTTCGTGACTTTTAGAAAACGAATCTATGGAAACTGATAATGCAAATGTAAAATGTAGTTCGGCAGAAGATGCCTCATCTAAAACTACAACAGCTAATGAAAACAAGGGAGACGCATCTGAAGTAAGTAAAAAATAATGTATCATAGTCATCATAAGTACTGGATGATCATGCATAGTGTTAAAACGACTTTGGCCTTTACCATTTTATGTTTAATCAAAGTGTACCTATATGTTTTTTAGTTCTATTATTCTCATAAATAAATTAACTGCCAACAAATTATCTTTTATAATGCTATATATTATGCTGTACATTAAAATCTTAGCTTTATATATATTTTTGTGAGTGTAAAGTTATAGAAAACCATAAAAAAATATGTTATCTGCTTAAACCACAATTTTTTTATACTCATTATATAATTTGGTAAATGACGTATATTATGTTCTAATATTTATCTGTATTTAGACTGATGCAAATGATGCTACTGAAAGTACTAACAACGCTGAAGAATGTGATGATGAAACAGAGACCCCATCTAAGCTCCTAGATTTATATTTGGCAGAACTCGGTATGTTTGTGTAACTGAAAATAATAACTTTGTGATTACAACATAAAATTAATATGGACTTGTACTTTTTATATTAATTATTTTTAGATCAAGTACAAAGTGAAGACGAGGACGAAGATTATAGACCCTACTATGAATTACATTGGAAGGTATGTATTAGTAAAAATATGATAAGCATAAATCTAATTTTGTTAATTAATTTATAGAGTGTTAATGTTGGATTGAATTTCCAAGCTATTGTGACGGAAGAGCTCACAACTTACGGTGATGCGTTACCGTATGAAAATAGTGATGAACTACTGTGGGATCCTAATGTTCTATGTGAAGATTTAATTGAAGAATATCTGGTCAAGGTTCAACACATTACAAAAGCATTAAAACCATCAAGCAAAGTTGTTGATGTTCGTGATAATGAAAAGGTATGTAATTTGTAAATTGATCAATTGGGTATGAAGTAATTTATTATGATCAAACTATAAACTTGATTGTAAACGTTAGGCAAGTAATACAAGAAAAAAACTGAACCACTTAGTGAGGTTTATGTCACAATCTATTATACAAATATTATTGAGTTTTTTTATGAGATGTTAATAAATATTATCACTAGGCTGATATAAGTTCTTTACCTCGTTATTTGATCTCTGTTATTATTACTTATCGTACCTTGTTCGATAAAGTTAAGTTAAAAGAATCAACACATCAGTGTTGGTGTTGACTGATTTTATTGTTTAAGTTCAAAAAATAACTCTTTAGTTCAATTTGGTTCAAATTTAAAAATTTAAATAAGAGTTTGGTTCGAATTAAAAAATTTATGTTAATAACATCTCTAATATTTTGCATATATATAATATTCAATTGTTATTAGGTATTTACTAGTTGATAAACAAAAAAAAATTGCATTTCAAGTATGTATAATTTTGCAGGCATTATATTTATTGGTACAATGTGGGCATGACACAGCTGAAGCCATTCGTAGAATGTCGTTAAATGTTGTTCCGCTGGAAAAAACACTAAGTGTTTGGTCAGAGGAAGAGACTAAGAAATTTGAGAAGGGACTTGAACTAAATGGAAAAAACTTTCATGCTATACAGAAAGAGGTATATCTTTTAATATTAATACTATCATCTACTAGTATTTTTAGTTTTTGCCGACTCAAATGTATGAGAATAATTTTAAATATTGATTTGTAGTAAAATTATTTACTAATTATTATAATTATTAGTTGATAAAGTATTAAAAATAACTGAATCGCCAACTGCAGAAAGGATACAACTTTACTTTTTTTAATTGCTCTTGAAAGACAAAAAGATTATATAACCTATAATTTCCGAACGCTATATTTGACAAATTTAACTCTTTTCTGCAGTAAACGATGTATCTATTTGTGCTTAGCACAAAATGAAAAATGAAAATTGATATTAAAAAAAATGGACTTGTTTCCTTTTTTAAGTTAGCGAATTAACTATTTTTAAATGTTTTATTATTTCATAGTATAGAACAGGAATTAGGATTTAGTACAACACTTTTTTATCTACGTAAAATAATAATAAAATTAAACCTCTTGTAGTACAAGAATTATCTGTTGTAGTCTTTTTTCAATTAACTAGCTTTGTATAGTTTATAGTTAAATGGAAGACTACATGATAATTTTTTTAATACATATTTTCAATAAAACAGTTCATGTTATGTTCAAATTATTTTTAAATAAATTGTGTATTTCAAAAAACTAAATTTTCTTAATTATTTTAGGTCAAAACCCGGTCTGTTGCAGAGATAGTTCATTTTTACTACTTTTGGAAAAAGAGTCCACGGTATGATGCGTTTGAAAGAAAACAAGTCGAAATGCGTCCAGAGTTAAAGTAAGCATATGTACCCAAAAACTATTGGTTTTTAAGTACTAACTAATTAAGATTTATTGAACTTGTTAATTTTCCAAAAACCCTTGTTAGGTTATAAGTTATATATTGGTCATAACTTAAGATTTTTAAAGAAATACAGTTATGTGGTTTATTTTTCTAGACAGTGGCATCATTGGGATTCTGATGAAGATCAAGACAGTGATTTCGATAACATGTTTCATGAAACCAGCCATGAAGATAGTAACGATAGCGTGCTTTCCGGGGATAAGGATCAAATGAACTGTTTAATATATGCTGATCGCAAAAGACAAGTACGAAAAAAGGGTGCTACAAGTATTATGCCTAATAATAAGTGCACCCTATCTGGTACACGCAATGTTTCGCCAAACAAAAATAACTTATAGAATACATTTTCATTGCTTTTTTTAGATTGAGCATTAGAAAAAGCTGATAAAGGTTTTTTAATGCTGTTATATGTTTATTGAACTGTAGTAGTTCTTCATGCATCTATAGCACTTTGTGGTACATATAAAAGAAAATCCATTTGAGAAGTTTTTATTTGCATTTTATGTAAATTATTTTAAACATATAATGGTCAAAACTGGAAGTAGTAATTATTGAAAATAAATGATCAAACTGTTGTAAGCTCATCTTCCTTCCAAATATTGTGAAAAACGTATGAGTGTCAATTGAGTGTAATGTGCCAATTATCGAAACTATTTTTGGCCACTATAATGATACAACAAAAACTGTTCAAATCTCTCGAGAGGACATCAAATCACCATTGAAAACTAAAATAACTGATACAATATTTACCTTCAACACAAGTTTTCTCATAATTTATTTATGGTATCGATTATCCAACTATTTTGTTGTTAAAGTAATTTTAGTGTGACCTTTAGCCTTTTAAAATTGCAGAACTTGTCAGTTATTTTAAAGAAAAATAAATAATTTGAGTTCTATTTATCACTTTTAAATTAGATTTTAGCAACAAAATAAAATTGTTGGTTTAAACGTTTTTTTTAGACAAATCCTGTTAATATCATAATATTTTGAAATCTATTATTGTTTTTTTCTGCTTGAGTCAAATAGGCCCAGAGCCGTCTATATAATTTACAATTTTTTATATAGAATGTCAAAAGACTGATTTTTAAGTTATTTTCTTCTTATCTTTAAATATATTTGGATACTTTTCAATTTGTTCTACACAATATGATTGTATAAAACGCGTTTTGTATTATACAATAAATGGAAATTATATTATTCTAAATATATTTTACGAAATAATTTGCTTTTAACTTTTTTTTATTTAACATTTTTAAGCAAAGAATCGTAGTCTTTTTTTTTCTAACGATAACTACATATTTTACTAACTAGTACTTGCATCCATAGTTGTTTTTTTAAAAACTATTTTAGTTTTAAACTGATCGTAAGTTATGGAACAAAATATTTCATCATTCATTTTTCATTAATAGGATATTACTTGTAGACTTTTTGATAGTGTAGATATTTAAATTTTGATGTTTTTAAAAGTTTATTCCATTAATTTTATTAGGTTACTACATTTGTGGTGGCCAATTTTAACCGCACAGTAGCTAAATCAAAACGAATAATGTAATAATTGTGATATTCATAAAATTTGGAAGGATATTATAACATTTTTTTTGTGGAATAGAAAACGTTTGAGTAAAATTGTTTAAGAATTCTCAAAATTCTATTCTCCATTAAAGTGACTTACAATTAACATAAAAATTATTAATAAGTGCCATTTAATTTTATGACAGCTATCATATAGAACTATACAATATACTATATAGAACTGAACCGTTATATGTTTTTATAAATATGTAGCAGACACTTGCTTTAAATTTTTCCATAATATGTATAACGACTTTTAAATTATTGATTAGTTTATCGTTTTTAATATTTACGGATTTAATATAACATAATGTGTAATACCGTAAATGTTCAAAACATCAGCACGTAACTGCTATGAATACATCTCTTGTAAATATTGAACTTATTTTTTATTTTAAAATATCATCATAGACGTATAGACATGTTAAAATAGATATAAGTTAACTTATGTATTAAAATTGATTAAAAAAGCATTTAAAAATGAGTTATCTTGTTTCTAAATAATAATGGAAAACTAAAATGTTTGTTTTATTTTTTTATGTAATTATTATGAATTATTTCAATGAATGTGTGACATGGGTTAACTATTAATTTATTATGCTATACTTTACAAGCATACAGGTGTCATTTTTATGCCACATTGAATGTGTGCACCTGTAGAAATATTTTACCTTTATGATATTAGATTATTATATACCTACATTTATAAAAGTACATAATTTTAAGGATTTTAATAATATTTATCACAATAAATAATAAAACTATGGTTAAACTTGCAGGATTTTGGAATAAAGGTCTCATTTTTTAAATTTATTTAAATATTATGTATGTATTATAATAAGTATTCGTTAAACAAAAATATTAATAATTGAACATGAAGTTTAGCGTTTATTATGACGGACAATCTCAATAAGTCATTACCAACCATGACCTTATTTTGTTTATCTGTTTCAACTCTAAATTTTAAAATGAAGAGATAAATTTTATATTCATTTGTTGTTTAATTATTTCTTTCAATCAAATTATATTCCTATAATAATGTTGTTTGATACATATTTATTGTTCTCGTATTATAATAAAAGATAATTTATTATTTATAGTTCTCTCATATTATATATTAATATTATTTTTATGATAAATTTACTTTAAGATTATTCTATGTACATTTATAAAATTAAAAAACATTTATTATATATTTTAGTACCTGCGTAATGTTCCTTTTTTCTACTTTCTGTTTATCATTATTGTACTATTAGTTATTACGTGTTAAATTGTATTGACTACTTGTAATAAAGTAAAACATATATAAAATTATACATTTTGAACGGTTGGTCATATCCTGTTAATTACAATTTTAGCATAAAATAAGATTTCAATGGTTTTAAATTCAGAAAATACTTTTGACATAAAACAGTAACTCTCATTTTACTAAAATTGAACTAGCTGTGACCGCTCAATGAAGTTATACATGTTTTATTTTAGCAATCATTTAGTTATAGCCTTTAAATGTAGTTAGCATTGTGAAAATTGTAACGGTGTATCTTATGTAAGGCTAATGCATCACCTTTTACACCTGCTGGTTACCAGTCTTGTAATCTTTCAGTATTAGTATTATATTAAAATGTATTGCATTAATAAATTATTAATAGAACTACCTTAAATTGAACGTTTCTGTGTACTATTTGTGTAATTGTTTTATGTTACCGAACAAAAGTGACTTAATATTTTGGTATTGTTAATTGGTAATTTTTAGCTTTAATGCGAAGCGGAAGAGTATTTTAACCTATGCGTATCTTTTTTTCTGTTGTAGTTGTATAACTAAAATTTAGATTGATGGTAGCTTTTGTGATCCTATATTATGTTCAATTTTTTTAAATCGTTGTCTATGCAATTAACAAATCCGTAGTCAAACTGTTTTTATTAAGGAAATCCCCCCCTCAAAAAAAAAACCAAAAGATTACAATTACCATAATTGTATGATGCTCTGAAATGACAACTCGCCTGATCCAGACCACTGGAAAATTAGTTTTAAATATTGTCCTATATCCTATTAACTTACCAGCAACTGTCTTGAAACTAGCAATTAGTATTGAAACCAACAAGTTTCTTAGTATTCTGTAAGTTTTGATACTTAGGCTTTTTCAGTCGTATAATATTATGTTTTACTATTTTGTGTCAAAACTCGCATGTTCCAACATAAATAACGACTGAAAGCTAAAATTTTAATGAAGTACCTTAATTGCATAAGAATAATATTTCTCCACATTGTCCACATAATTCCTGTTCCAATTATGTTTCTTCTGAAATTGCTTTTTGGATTATGTGAGTTTTATTTCAGCCTACTCGTTTATTCTTATATTTCCGTACTTTTATATTAAACATATTATTCAGAGTAGCCAATTGAACGTAAGATAATTTTCTTTTTTAAATAATAGTCATTATGTAGATTGTTTATCGGTCAGTCAACATTTTCAGTAGATTATTCTCAAATTAAACTGTTACTATTTTTTTTTTTATAACAAAAAAATGTGCAGTACCTAATGCATTTGTGTTGAGAAAACCCCTACTAAGTGAATGATAATTATTCTGTTTAATAGTAATTTCCTTGCTCGACCATTATTTCGAGTTGGCTCGTACATCCTATTATTGATTCAACTTGCTAATCTCGAAGAGATTTTCTTAAACGTTATAAATTGGTGAATATTATAATCTCGAAAGAACAATATTTTTAGTATTTAATAAGCTGTAATATAACGTCGTGTTCTCTTTTCTTTATTCGACGAGAACTTTTAACAATAATACAAGCATTTTAGTCTAACAATAGGAAATGAACATTACACATAAGTGCTCTGTAGTCGTCAATAGTTGTAAAACGTGCCGTCTTCTTTTCTGGAATAACCGTGATTGGTCTGCGATATGTGACTTCCGGCCAAACCAAGCTTTATGCTGTTGGCGTCTTTTCGAACCCCGATCAGTCCCCCTTGCTTGAGCGGATGGTTTCTGAACATCTTTTCCGTCTTCCGGTTGGACCCATAGTTGTACAATTGCTTCCTTGAAAAAAAACATTAACACTAACTAATTGTGTACCTATCCATCTTAATACTAAATATACAATTTTAAGCATATTGTTGACCTTTGACTTCCCCCGTCCCCACAGTTTAATCGACGATGTCTCTCAAATTCGCTATTTATATTTTTTGTGATAATCTACTTAATTATCGTTTACTTACTTCAAGCACATCGTGAACGTTTTCTCCTGCATGTAAACCTCGTTGGTCTGTGGAAACGTTAGACCCGAGTGACTGTAAACGGCCATCAGGGCCATGTCTAAACTATCTGCCACTGTGACTACCTCGGGTTTCCATCGCACTGAACGGTGTTCACTGGCCACCGTATGCTTCTTGTGCAAGTCCTGACAACCATTAGCAGACGTATATGACTATATTATAAAAACGAGATCGACAATATTGTATTATTAAAATAGCGCAGTGGTGTGGTCTGTAATAGTTAATTGTATAGATTCATAGTTTCGATTTCGAAAGTAAATGCTGATCCTTAATTTTAGGTAGTGTTTGGAACAACATTTCTCTACACAGCAATACGAATTTGTAGTCATTTAATTGAATGCATTCTCTTGACCATTTAAAAATAATAAATAATGAATGCCAACAAATTCTTTTCAAAAAAAAAACTAACTTTTAAAACATTTTTTCGGGATTCATATTTTTTTAAATATAATATATCAGAATTTTGTAAGACATAATAATATAATATTATTACCTACTTATTAAAAATTATATGAGAGAGTATTATTAAATCTACTGTTTGTATTACAGAGTAATATTATTATCTGGGAATGACATGAAATAAATTTAAATTAATAATACTAATATTATATTACTATCTTAAAGGTTTTTTTTTTTTTAAATATATTTGTTATTAAATTATACACTTATATTCCACTCAAAATCTAATGCATTCACAATTGCCATTCAATTAAATTTGAATTTCTAAATTCGTGAATGCATTCATGCTGATAAACAATTTAAATTTAGAAATTTAAATGAAATATTCTAATTGGTTATTAACGAAAATTTGTTTAAAATGAATATTTACTCTAGAAAATCCGGTCATTCATATTATTATGTCAAATGCCAATATGTTGCATTTAATGGACAATAATGATTGTACATTATTTATTATTACTGGTTTTTTAAACTTTGTTTTAAGTTATAATACATTTTTTAAAATTATAATACGTTTTGGTCGTCTATACTATCGTCTATCACACTAGTAAAATTATTTGATTTTCTTATACTATAATATATTATATCGTTTGCTGTAATAGTAATATAATGTGCAAACAATATATCCATACCTCTTCCATGCAGGTGTACCAATCCCGTGATACTCGAGTAGGTATTGTCGAATTAATGAATTGTCTTTAAACGGCTCCGTAACGAAACTACGACCGCAACCACACATACGCGCGTGTGGTTGTGTGTCATTAGATGATAATAACATTATATCATTTTACGGCACCTAATGTAATCGCAAGAATGTTTGTTTCCATGAACACCGGCAGTCGGCACGCATTAAATCCACTGCGGTATAGCATATTAAACGTTTATTGGTGTACTATGTATATGTATATATATATTTATTGTCACATGAAAGTCGAATTTGGTAGACTGAGGTTTTTGTCATAGTAAATAAATGTATTGTTTGGTAAGTTATTGTAACCTTCGCGGGTTGTTGTCGCACAATTTTACAATGACTAACAAAGCATATTTTAAAGTAAATTATTCATTATAAAAAGTTGCTTTGTCGTGCCAACATTGTACAAACCAAGTGAAAATAATTGGGTCGTTGCGTGATGAGTTGTACAATGGCGATATTAAATATATGTTTATTGCATTCCTTTTTTGTTCTGTAAAACTGAATTATTTTAACTCGTTATTTTTTCTAAACCGGATAGTTTAAATCAATGAATAAATAATGCTGATATTAGAACTAGTAATAGTTGTAAATAGTTTTACTAATAAGTGCCCAATAATTATTATCTTATCTTCACATTCATTTATAATATTATAAAAGTTAAAATAGGTATTATAGACAAAAATTGTTTTTAAAAAAAGTAAAATTTTACACGGTTATTGTAATGCAATGAATTTCAGAGTGAAAAACACTTAAAGCAGTTTGTTTGACTAATCCCAATACATGATGATCCGTTTTGAGAATTACTCGGAGAATAAAATTATATATTATTAAAAAAGCAAGAAATTAGGAAAGCGGGGTCAAAGCAGTCACTAGATTTAATCAAACGCTCCCATGCGGATCTGTAGAAAGTTAAGAACCAACACAGTTTAACCAATTCGAAGACAGTACAGTATAGCAATCCGCCGTTTAAATAAAACGGGAAAAGTTCTCTTGAAAAGACATAAAGATAATTTGAAAAATTACAGACATGTCAACTGACCAATTTAATGAAATCTTAATCAACGCGGACACTTGAAAAATCGACTTATTTACTTTCAATTTTAAAGGGGGAAGAGTGTGGTATATAAACTTCTGTCGCATGTTAAGTTTTGCGTAACTTGAATCTATATTTATTTTTTAAGAAGTCCTGACCAACGGAAGTGCTATCCTCTTTACGGACAAAAACAAAAAAATTACAAAGTAAAATAAAACCATCGAACCTCAAAAAAAGTAATAATAATCATATTATATGTGTTGTAGTATAGCTCATAAGTATATGCACTTATTATTTTATTATAATCACAATTAAATTTACTTTTTGTTACGGCCAACGATGATGATGATTGTAGAAACGGACTCGGTGCGTTTTCTCTTTAAAAAATTTCTCATCCCATTAATTGTTATTACATTATGTCGTCGAGAACAACAACAAAGAAACGCTAAAATCAATAGCTCTGTTGACATTTCGCGCAGCAAACCAAACGCAAATCATTTGTAAACTTAGCCGCGCTTTTTTATTGATCAATGGCTAGGTTAGACGTTAAAAATGTATGTCTCGGCCAAAAGAAAGTATAAAAGAATTAGTTAATCTTATTCACTTACGCCCAAATATTACAAAGTTATTATACTAATATTTGAAAATAAGAATAATGTATATAAAATTCAAGAAAAAAAAAATGAAAAACATATGACAGTCTATACTTAACACTGGTATGTGCATTAAACATATGAACCCTTTTGATAAACAAACGCATCATTATTACATAAATTAATTAAAGAAACTTGAAGAACAACTCAAAGTTGTTGAAACTTAATATTATCTTAATCTGTATTTTTATAAAAATAAAAAATTAATGGAACTACTTTACGATTTTAGAGTTTATTATAATAATTAGATTTACGTATTTATTATATTTTTTTATAATGAAACGTATTTATAGCATAACTTTTATAGGTCAATTGTATATTCGACGGCTTGATTAAAAATTGTTAAAAATTACGATTTTACAAGAAATCAGTTAAATTTTACAGTTTTCCTATATACTTATTAACTACAGCTGTACTAAACGAATTTTTATGCTCTTTGGTCGTTTCTAGTGTTATAGAATATTTTATTTACCAAGTTTTCACAAACAAAAAAAAACCTTTCAATTATCTGATAGGTTCAATACCTAAACTAAAATGTTGACGAAAATGTACTTTTTCGATAAGCTATTGGACATTTTTTCTTTTAACAGTATGCTTTATTATACATATTATTCAAAATAGCGCAGAATATGTATAATTGTGTGGTTCGAAACGCGTATTTATAGGCATATTATCGCTATGTATACAAATAACTATATTTGTCCGAATTAATATTATTAATTTATTATTATATTCCTGTGATATATATATTAGGTATATCGGGTGATTGATAAACTATGACCTAGTCAATAACTTAGAAGACATTCGAATTTTTTCATAATTTTATATTTATTAGTTAGAACAAATTTGATATATTTTTAAAAAATATTACACCATCCCTTATACTCCCTAACGTATGTTGAAACCGTATGAACTTAAGTTTTTTAATTGGTAATTTAATTAGTTTTAAAGTTATTAAACTTTAAAAGTTAGGACGTGAGGGGAAGTGCGGTTGAGTAATACTTACAGATAAAAAATCTCTGTTCTCCACGCCTTCCTCCTGTCCTAAAATTATTTAAACTTTAATAACTTTGAAAATAATTATCCGAAACTGGTTATCGAGCGGTCAAATTGTTCAGAAAAATATTCATAACTTAAAAAGTTATTCAAATATGTACGTTAACATTTAAAAAACTTAAATTTATACGGGTTTAAGATACAAGGGATGGGGTTATATTTTTTGGTAACATATTAAATTTGTCCCAACTAATAACTATAAAGGTATAAAAAAAAATAATTTAAAAAACCAATCACCAGGTATATTATATTCTTACTGATATTAGCATTTAGCCGCATAGTCATTACTTTGCGCGCACGATCTGATTTGGCTTCTCGTTAGGATCACCGAGGTCACTTTTGATTGACTATATGACTGAAATGTAAATTGCAAATTATTCTGATTCACAGGTCATGACGTATGGGAGGAAACACGTCAGTCCAAATGCAATTTTAGCTTATATTGATTTATTGTTGCACTGTCTAATATACCGATTGTATATTCACATTTGAATTCCTATAGTAGGTACTTAATATTTAACTACGAGTACTGTATCCTTCGCGATGGGCTACAATTTGCTTAATCGAGAATCGTGATAATTACTACTCACCAGTTACTTCAACACAACAATATAATATTTTCATACATTACATCATAATTACTCCTTCTACATTTATATAATAATATAAATTAATATACATTTATATAATATTTTGTTTTTTTTATTTTCCACCTAACTGACCAACGAATAAACAAACAAATGGTAATATTAAACAAATAAAAAAGTTATATGTATAAAGTCATTTTAATGACTTTCTGTTACTCAAAACAAAAAAAAACAATATTTTTTTCAAAAAGCTGAAATTATTGAACTGATTTCTTATTTTTTTTTTTTTTATGGCTGAATATACAATGGAAAAACGATATAAAAGAAATGTAAAGAAAAATCTAAAATTACTTTATTCAACCATGGCCAAAATAATCGAAACAAAATTTGAGAACGTTCTTTTTTATTGTAACAAACTTGCAGGGTAAGTTTCATTAAGTATCGTGGGTGGGGGGGTCCAAAAATTCGTTTGTATTTAGAGATTTGACATATGTATATATTATTTATACAATATCAGCTAATAGATGGAATTTTATGTGAAGCTTACACTTTTAGACATTTTTAAACTTTATTTTAATTTTTTACGCTCATTGTTTTTTTTTATTAAAACCGTAACACTTCTTATTCCAATAGACGAGCTTACTTAGAATCACCTAGACACGGTATTAACTGTTTGTGTAATTTATTATCGTACAATTTTCAAATCCAATAGCTTCGCATGAGTCATATTAATTGTGCGGTCGGGTCCTCTCACTTTTTACCGACTTTCCTAGCCTATTTCCCCGCAGGGTGCAGTGTGTTGGCCACGACAGTCGAGAAGGTCGATAAAAAATATTATTATGTATTTATCTCCACTGACCAAGGCCCATAGACAACGAAATCCCAGTGGTAGGTCTTTTAACTTCCTACAGTTTTCTTGGCATTGCTACTGCACCCGATTTCAAACGATCGCGACCATTCCTAATGAACTTGAAAGCAAACCACTCACATCAATCCGTTCATAAAAAAAAATACACCTACAACAATTGACCGGCGTGTCGCGTTTTATTTAATTGTGTACAGTGTACTTGAAACGCTTATTGAGTTTCGTGTAGTATCGAATCCCACTAATTTCGTGTATATTAGCCGACAATTGAATGTGGAGGATCAAGCAAAATTGGCTGTATGTAAACTGCGCCAAAAATGACCCTTTTTCTATAAGCTGATATGTAAACTGCGGCAAAAAAAATTTAAACATTATACAAACTGCGACAAAGATGATAAGGTACATTCTACAAACTGCGACAATTTATTTTATATACCTACTATATAGTATATAATATACTATAATACATACCGAATACCGATAAGAATGCTATCTTGTACCATATATTATTATAGATCTATGGTGTGCACATAGTCAATAGGAGTAAAGGTGTAAAAATTAAAATAAAAAAACAATTTTAAAATACATATTAAATTGAAAAATATTATTATTTATCTAACATTAAATTGTACATCTAATAATAGTAATAAGTTTTATAAGACTACTGTAATATAATACTGTCTAAGAAAATAGAAAATTTAAATAATAATACATTTTTTTTTTTGTTGTTCGTTTATAAATTTGTATTTTTGAGTAGTAATTTTGTTTCGTTGTTGTATTATACCTTCTTCTGCACTCCTAACGTTTATGTATGTATCAACTTGAATAATATGTTATAGAACATGTATAAATGTATATAGTGACGGATGATAATGATGATAAAAATATGCATTAAATTTTAAAGGGAAAGATTCACTTACATTATTTGTTAAAACTTCTGATGATGATGCCCACAAAGAAGGAGGGAATATACCTTTCATATAAGTTTCTGTTAAATAATCGCAAAATTGTACTACACGAGTATATGTTACCGTATTAGTATGTATTATTGTACATAGCTAATATAAGTATATTATATCCTATATAGTAGGTATATAAAATAAATTGTTGCCGTTTGTAGAATGCGCCTTATCATTTTTGTCGCAGTTTGTATAATGTTTAAATTTTTTTTGCCGCAGATTACATATCAGCTTATAGAAAAAGTGTCATTTTTGGCGCAGTTTACCATCTCCCGCAAAATTGATCTTTATTCATACAGACAATATAAAAAGTCACATTTTATTTAGTGTGAAATTTAATGAAA